GCAACTGCCAACGCGATTTGAAACATCAATTCCCCGGGGGTTGGTGCACATCGGAAGGATTAGGGAGCTTTGTAAAGAGAGAGGCTCCAGCCCATCCTGGACATGTTGGATCAAAATCCCTGGGGTGAGGTCTGGGGGCTCTACTTTTGTCATTGGTTTTAAAGCTGCCCCAGGTGCTTCTGCCCACCAATCAGATCAAATGTGGGAACCTGCAAAAGTAAGCTCACCCTTACTTCTCATAGGACCTGAGAGTCTATCTTTTGAGTAATTTCTTTGGGCCTCCCAGAGTTCCCATGAGGTACTGTGGGCTCGTCGCCAGGTCCTGAGACAGAGTTTTTCAGCTAATGGCTCGACCTCAGCTGCCAGACAAGACTCTGCAGGAATCTACTTTTTCAACAGCACCTATTAAGCATGTATGAGGTGCCAGGTCCTTCTCCTCTGGGGACACAGTGGTAAACCAAACACACAAAGCTCCCTGTCCTCATGGAGGTTACCTTTATAGAAGAGAGAGAAAGAGACAAAAATCAGGTGGAACAAAGAAAATATATAAGGTATTAGATGGACATAAAGGCTGAGGAGGAGCGGCGAACCCAGGAAGGGGCAGGGACGGGGCAGGTGTGGATAGCGTGTGGGTCTGCGTGCATGGCCACACAAGTTGAAATAGCCTGGTCTCACTGAGAAGGTGATGTTTAAGTGAAGACTTTTGAGCCAAGGAGCAGCACAATCTATTTTAATACTCTCGGTCTGGCTTTTGGGAGTAGACTGAAAAAAAGGCAAGAGAAAAACAAGGAGACCAGAGTAATCCAAGTAAGAGGTGATGGGGATGAATTAATTTTCTGTTGCTGAAGATTGGTGGCTTAAGGCCACACACAGGGGCGCCTGGGTGGCTCAGATGGTTAAGATTCTGACTCTTGGTTTCAGCTCAGGTCATGATCTCAGGGACGTAAGATCGAGCCCTGCACAGGGCTCCGTGTTCAGCACGGAGTCTGCTCAAGATTCTCTCTCCCTCTGCCTTTCCCTCCCCCCTTGCCCCTCCCCCTGCTCACTCGCTCTCTGTCTCTCCTTCAAATAAATAAAATCTTAAAACAACACACACAAACACATTTATTCTCTTACACTTCTGGAAGCCAGAGGTCCAAAATGGGTTTCACTGGGCCAAAACCAAGTTGTTGGCAAGGCCACATTCCCTCCAGAGGCTCCAGGGGAGAATCTGTGTCCTCGCCTTCTCCAGCTTCTAGAGCTGCATTGCTTGCCTTCCTTGGCTTATGACCCCTTCTTTCCATCTTCAAGGCCAACAGTGGAGCATCTTCAAATCTCTCTCTGCTCTGTCTTTACATTATCTTCTCTCTTCTGTGTTAAATCTCCCTCTGCCTCCCTCTTGTAAGGACACTTGTTATTACCTTAGGGCTCACCTAGATTATGTAGGATAATTTCAAGATCCTTTGCTTAATCACATCTGCATATATGTTGCCATATAAGGTAACATTCACAGGTCCCACAGATTAGGACCTGGTTATCTTTGGGGGCCGTTATTTAACCTACCAAAGGAGGCTTGGACCAGCAGAGACTTGATGGAAATGGTGAAAAATGAGCAGATTCTTGGATTTGTTTTGAAGCTGGAATCAATTGGGTACCTTTTAGGTAGAATGTGGGATGTGAGAGAAAGGGAGGAGTCCAGGAAAATTCCAAGGCTTTGACCTGAGTAATTGTGAGAAGAGAGTTTCCATTTCCTGAAATGAAAAAGACTATAGGAAGACTATAGGAAAAGCATTTTGCGGGGTATGAGGATTGGCTGATTTACTCATTGATTGATGTCAGAGGGTTTGGGTGCCCATGGACATTTTAGATTTGGGATGCCCTACTAAATAGACATATTGAAAAGGCTGCTGGATATATGAGTTTGAAGTTCAGGAGAGAAGTTATGCCCCAGGTATTAATTTGGGAGCCTTCGGTGTGTCTCTAATGCTTTGAAATTGAGTGAAATCATTAAGAGTGAGTATAGTTAGAAAAAAGAAGAGGTCCAAGGATTGAGGCAGCCTGGGGGACTCCAATGGGTCAAGGTTAGGGACATGAGAAAGAACCAGCTCAAGAAGACCAAAAATTGCAGCTGCTGAGGTAGGAGGAAACCAAGAGAGGGTGGTCTCCTGGGGGCCAGGCAAAGACAGGAAACGGGGTTTGGGGGTGGGGGTGGGAAGGACGGCTAAGTCCCTGCACAAGATGGATACGTATGGGCCAGAGGGCACACCTTAGCAACTCTAGCACATGGCATCTCTCCCCGCCCCCAGACGCACACCCACACAAATACCCTCTAGCATGAAAATCAAGGCCGGCGTCCTAGGGTCTGGGCAAAGGAGCAGAAAAGATCTGCAGTCTCTGACCCGAGCTCCCACAGACGTGCAGCTTGGATGTGGTTAAGCTGTATGTCTTATCCTGTAGACCCTGTCTCCCTCGCTCTATCTGCGATTGCCAGGGGGCAAGTCTGTCACCTGTTTCTGGAAGAAGAAAACATCTCAGGCAGCAAGGTCTCCATCTGCTTGCCACCCACTGAGCCACCTGGCACTGTTACTGATTGAGTGCTCAGATCATTAGCTCCTGAGTGGGAAGCAACAGCTGTACCAATGTCACCCATAGGGTGTCACCGTAGGGTGACATCCCCCGCGAGGCCGGACTCCCGGCAGAACCGTTGTTTACAGGCTTTCACTGAGAATGCTCACTTTAAATAGCCCCCTTAGTTCATTCATCACTTATGGGAACATCTACGAAGTCCTCAGAATCAAACTGAAGGCAGATCCTACATTACACCATGTACACCAGGTATCTTGAGTCATCTACCGAGAGAGGCAGTTGAGGAATGTTCGTGGATACCAGCTTGGATAGATTCCCTCCCCTCTCCTTTCCCCCTCCCGTCCTCTCCTCTCCTCCCCCTTCTCTTTTCTCTTTCTCCAGCCTACCACTTCTCCCGGAGTTTTAAGCAGCACTTAGACTCCTGGTCCTCCAGCTGGTTGCATATTGGAATCACCTGGGAAATTTAAAAAAACTATTGATGCTTGAGTTCCACTCTCCAAGATTCTGATTTTCACTGCTCTTAGGTGTGAGTTGGGCTTTGACAGTGTTAAAAGCTCCTCAGGTGATTCTCATGTGCAGCCGAGTTTGAGAACCAGTGCCTGTGGTTACCTTCTGAGCAGTGAATCCCAGTGCAATATTCTAAAGCTGTGGAGGAGGAGTGGCTCTACCTCCAACTCCTTGCCTGGCCTCTCCCTAACATTCCTGGTTTATAGGACAAATGCTTGGTGCCTGTTTGCCCCACCTGAGCACCACTGTCAGATGCAGCATGAGGTATAATGCTCTGTCTCTTCCAAATGGCATGATCCAATGGGGACTCTGATATTCTATACCTGGCTTCTAACTTCTCTCCACAGCTTCCCTCCCAGGGCACCTTCAGCCAGCTTTCTGTGTCAGCAACATCAGAGTTCCAGCTGCAACTCTAGCCTCAGTTGTAAGCAATGGGAGAAGTAGGGGAAAGGTGGCTGGAAATACCCAAGGGCATGTGCACACATGCTCGGGCGCACACATAATCAATGAATCAGACTGCAAAGTGGAATTCTGCTCGTATCGAAATTGTCTGATAGAGAAGAGGTGGCCACAGTGCTCCCTAATGTCTCTTTCTGTGGTACTTACTAGGAGGAAAAACCTGGGTCCCCTGCCACCAGAGCGGGTCTTGCACAATGAGCTGCCCTGCTTAGAAGCAACCTGTCTCCCCCTCCCTTCTCTCCGCATCTGGGATTCTTAATTGGCAAGATCTAAACAGTAATATGCCCGGGCGAGATCCAAGTCTATTAAATGCCATAACTTTCAAGCTTTTTGAAAATAAAAATTGGCACGAGTTTTCAGAAAGCAACTTGGTAATAGGCCTTAAGACTTTGAAATCTGTTCAGTGTATATCCTTTCATCTAATCATTTTACTTCTTATCCTAAGGAAATAGAGATGTGGCAAAAGATTTATATATAAAGATCTTCAACAAAGTGTTATGTATACTTGCAAAAAATCAGAAGTAACTGTACACATTCTATAATACAAGATTGGTTTAATATATCATGTATATCATAGTACAGACAATGAAATAATCAGACTGTTAAAACTTAATTTTTTCAAGTAATTTTTAACAATGTGAAAAAATGCTCACAATATAATGCTAAATAAAAAATACAGATAAAATGATTAATTTTTCAGTGTAATCCAATTGTAGGTATATACAGTTATTTATAAAGAAGGAAACACTGGACAGAACCCACTATGTTAAGAGTAGTTATCCAGATTGTGTGGTTGTGATTGATTTTTTTTCCCTGAATTTCCCAAGCTTGTACTGTGTGTATAACCAGAAAAAATAATTTTTTTTCATGAAAAGGTTTCATTTCTCATGAGGGCAGCAAGCATTTATCAGAGGCTGATCTCAGATGTGACCCCATAGTGATCTTCTTTCTATCACTGCCTGTGGGCACACAGGCGTTCCAAGCCCTTCCACGCTCTTCATCACCCTTGAGTCCCCAGCAGCTTTGACATGGGTGAGCCAGGGAGCATTCAGCCCTTCTCAGTAGTCTGGCTGGGAGCTGGGGTACACTTGCTGGGCAACGGGACCTGTGTCGCCTTTGAGGGTGTCTACCATGTAAGGACTATGTGTCATTCCTATTACTCTTCAGCATAATGAACTCAATGGGAGCCTCAGGAGTTGAAGATGCCCAGACATGCAGGAGTACATTTATTCATTCAGTCTAGAGGTATTTATTAAGCATCTTCTGTGGTGCCAGGCAAAGCTCCCACTCATTCCACTAACACTGTTACAGGTTGTTACTTGAAAGAGCTGACTGGTAGGGTTGAGAAGGTAAGCTTAGGACCAGAGCTTGGGGTTCCACATGGAAGATCATTCCACCTGCTAAGTAGTTGCTTAGTAGGGGTTGGAGTCATGGATGCACCAAGCGACGCTCTCTCTTTGTTTTTTCAGATGGAGGTGATCGTCGGGGACTTTGGGATTGTGGTGGTGCCCCGGGACGCAGCTGACACAGACCGAATCATGAATCACTCCTCAATACTCCGCAAATACAAAGTGAGTCCCCCATCTCTTTGCTGCTCTAGCTCTGTGGTGTGCTCCTTCTCTGAGGGGCCTGTGGGGTGGTGGGGGGAGGTGGTAGGGGCTAGCGGTGGTAGGGAAGAGTGAGGGCACCCGAGGAGTTTAAGCGTGAGGGGAGGGCAACCTGCTTTCTTTGCTCTGTCCCCAGAATAACATTATGGTGGTGAAGGATGACATCAACCATCCCATGTCTGTTGTCAGCTCAACCAAGAGCAGGTACGTTTGACAAACAGCCAGAGGGACCTTAGTCAAATGGGCTTACAAGTTTTGATACAACTGACTCTTACCATTTGCTGACACCTGCTGCCTGGTATTTAGCCTTCTTTGGGGACCTCATGTATTTGTCCCCAGTTATCTACTTTTTTTTTTGAGAGAGAGAGAGAGAGTGCACAAGCGGGGGGCGGGGGGTGAGGGGCAGGGGGAGAGGGAGAGAGAATCTTAAGCACGTTCCACACCCAGCACAGAGCCCAACATGGGGCTCGATCTCACAACCCTGAAATCACGACCTGAGCCGAAATCAAGAGTCAGACGTTCAACTGACTGAGCCACCCAGGCGCCCCCTCAGTCATTTACTTTTAAAGGGGGGGGGTGGGTCATCAGCTAGTTTTAGCTGGTTCTTGGGAGGAAGAGGATGTTTTTAGTTTGAGACTCTTTAGTTTGAGGTGTTTGTTGTATTAATGAGAGTATAGGCTAAGCTGCCATAACAAAAAGAGCCCAAATAGTCATAGTTTAAATAAGAGAAATGTTTATTTCCCTCTTACTGAAGTCAAAAGAGATTGAATCTCTGACCTTTCACGTGAAGCCTCTTATCTGTGGGTCCCCAGCTGCTGCTGTGACCGCTGGAAAGGGCAGGAGCTTTGTCTTTTAAAAGGTGACTCACTGTTGTACACATCACCCCCCCTCCTGCACCCCATGGGCTCAGCCCCAGTCGCGCGGCCATGCCTTGCCGCAAGGGAGGCTGGCACATGGACTTTATGTGCCCAGCTTAAACTCAGGAGGTTCTAGTCCTAAACAGAAGGAGAGAATGGATGCTGGGGACCAGGTAACAGTCACCACCACAAGCTGCAACTGGAAGTGTCCAGTGGAATGGTGAGGTATATGAATATAGAGGTCTGGAAGTGGAATAGAACCGAAAGCCATGAGCACATAGCTGTAAATTCCGTTAAGAGTACGGCTGAGCTCACAGGGAGAGTCAATAAGAAGAGAAGCATTTAAAAGAAGGCTAAGGAGCCCTCAGAGACCACCAGCAGGGCTGGCCCAAGAACCAAGGCAAGAGAGGGTACAAAGATGGAGAGCATTGTCATCTCTGTCACATATTTCAGAAAAATCAGATGGGCCCAGCATTTTTAAAGGTCTACTGGACTTCCTCCCTGGAAGGTGATTATGTACACACTTCAAAGAGTAGCATAGCATCAAACTGTGAGGTGAGAGCTGAAACCCAATGACAAGGGCCAATGAGGGGAGAGGAGAAGGGTTTGGTTCCAAACATGGCTGCACAATAAAACTACCCCACCAGCTTACACAAGCACACAAATTCCCGTGTCCCCTTGAATCCCACTGAATCAGAATCCATGGTGGATGGGCCTAGAATCTGCTTCCTGGGTGATTCTGATCAAGCTGGGATTGGCATTTGGAAACTACAGATACAGATCACTTTTTCCAGAAGCCTCCCTGTGAACTGTGCAGGGAGGCACTTAGGGACCTAGCTTGCTTGCAAGATCAAGACAGCGTATGCATTGAAGAGGCAGTGAGCCAGCCTCTGAAGAGGTCTCACAGGGCAGGACTCAGCTGCCTTTTAGAATCTACATTTCTGGAGGAGTATGTGCATTTTTTACAAATAGCTTCGTGGGGCCTGACATTCCCAAGACCATCATATGAGCAGAGAATGGGAAGCAGCCAGACCAAGGCTGGAGCACAACTGTGAAGAAACCAAAGCGCCTCACTGCAACTCTTTTGTACCTGGTAGTGCCTTCCTCCTTCCTCCCTGCCTCAGAGGAGGTCACCTTCTTCTGTGTCAGGGCTCCCGTAGGAAGGAAAAGAAGTGGTCCCTCAGGAGATTCACTTTCATGAGATCGTGATGCAGAGAAACACGAAGGAAAAAAAATAACAGTCAACACATTTAAATACCTACTGTGTGTTTGGGCTATTCTAAAGGCTTTGCATGACTCATTTAATCCTTGCATTTTTATTTTTTAAATCCTTTTAATAACTGAAGGAGATGGGCCCAAATCTTCCCCTCATTTTTACAGAGGAGAAAACTGAAGAACAGAGGGGCTTAAATAACTTGCTTAAGGTCCCTGTGCTAGGAAATGGCAGAGCCAGGATGGAATGGAGTCACCAGATGGGGGGGGGGGGAGGAATTCTGGGGCAGGCGAGCTTTTCCCAAGAGGGAAGCCATTTATGGAGCCTAAGCAAAGGCAGAGACTGGGGTGTTGGGTAAACCCTTCCCCTGAAAGAGAGTGGGCAGGCCTGTCCTTTGGCCTTGGTCAAGGAAGGTGTCATCTGACCACCGTCTCTTCTCCTCCAGGCTGGCCCTGCAGCACGGGGACGGCCATGTGGTGGATTACCTGTCCCAGCCGGTCATCGACTACATTCTCAAGAGCCAGCTCTACATCAACGCCTCCGGCTAGCAGCCGCACGGCCACACGCTCCACTCTGCCCTCGTCCTCCGCCAACACACTGGCCCTGCCAGGCTCTGTCAGTCCCCCCGTTTTTCTCCTGCCTCTCTGTTTCTCCATCTCCTCATCTTGACTGTTCTCCCCACTTGCTGACTCAACCCTCCACAGTGTGGGGGACCTGCAGAGAACCACAGCATACCCTCTTCAGCAGTCATCTTTGGACAGACTTTCCTCTAGTCTCCGGGTTGGGGGTGGGTGAGGGAACGGGGGTGGGAGTTGGGGGAAGCGCAGTCCCTGGAGACGTGCTGGTGTCTGTCTCCCAGCATGCTCTAGAGAGCGGCTCCGGCGCCCGTCCTCCCAGCATGCTCTGGGGAGGCGGCTCTGGCTCTCGCCTTCCCAGCATGCCCTTTACCACGAAGGGCTATTTTTTTCTTTCTTTTCTTTTCTCTTTTTTTTCTTTCTTCTCTTGTTTTTTGTGTTTTGTTTTGTTTTGTTTTGTTGTTGTTCTTCACTCCTCATAGAATTTGGATGAAATCTGTGTCCGTGGTTCTTTATGTTTGTAGTCTTGATGCATTCCTGTGGTGTTAACTTCCCGTTTGATAGGATAGCGTAGCCAGCCTCAGCGTGAGAGCCACACCCAGTAAAGAAGGCCAAGCCGCCTCCACCTGCCCAACACCCCCCACCTGCCCACTCACGCCCCACAAACCCCCACACACAGCAGCTGCCGACTAGGCAAAGAACTGAGGCTTTCAGGTTCCAAAACCTGGGAGGCAGGTGTGGGGGTAGTAGGGTTTCTCAGAAGAATTTGTGTCCATTTCCTTAATTTCAGAAGACCATTGTCCCGATGCTCTGGGCCTGTGATCACACAGATCCAGTCCATCCTCATGTCCTGGTGGCATCTGTATGGTTCCTCCTTTGGGTTGTGACTAATGGCAGAGTGGGTTCCCTGTCAGCCCAGCATTTCCAAGGAACCTTCAGGTCACCACCTAAGCCCTTGGAGGTCCTACCTAGCCACATTCCTGCATCTGAGAAGAATCACCTATTCAAGGCCAAATCCTAATAATGCAGACATTTCTGAAATAAAACATGCTAGGAATTCACTCAACCCTAGAGATCATTGCTAATTGGAATTATTTCTTGCCTGTTTGGCTGGGAAATTTTTCTGTCATGATGTAAGTCCAAGATGACCAAGGAGAGAGAGGCTTGTTGCCCTGAAGGGAATTGATGGTTCTCACCCACTCTTGCTGCGGTGCCTGAGGTTAGTTTCTTCTTGAGACACAGTACCTCAGTCTTGTTTCTGGAGCTGGTCATATCTCCTGCAGAGCCCAGAACCACAGTCATTGCCTGAAGAATTCTGTCTGGCAGGGGAGTGGGTTCACAGAACAGAGATCATGGTTGGGAGGGCACTAAATTGTTTCATCCTTTTTCTAATTTCTTACCTTCCTCTGCTGTTCCTGGAAACAGTTCTGACAGACTGTTCTAGTTGTTCAGGTCTCACTCATGCCCTGTTTTGAGAGCCAAAAGGAGATTATTCTCTTATGCTCTGTGTCTCTTGTCTAGTCCCTGGCTCTTGGGCTTTTGGTTGTCTTCATGGACTAGGTCCCTGAGCAACAGGATATTTTTATCAAAATCTAGTACCAGTTATGGCCCAGGAGGGGTGGGGTGAGACCTGACATCGGGGACACCATTCTTCAGTACACATTTCACGTCTGTGACAGTCTTCCATAGCCTCCAGGAAAAGGAACTGGATTCAACAGAAGAGCATGTTCAAGTAGCAACCAGGAGGGTATTATTCCTTTTGGATTATGGAAATAATCTCCAGAGGAGGGAATGAAGAACCTATTCTTGGGTCTCAGTGTTTGGTTAAAGATCATGGAATCATAAATGAAAAAAAAAAAAACTTCAGAGATTAGTTGATTCAACATTCTTCTTTAAAAGATGAGGGAACAGAGATCCACTGGATTAAATGGCTGGTCCAAGGTTACACAGCAAGTGTAGAGCCTGGCAAAAGGATATTATTTCCCTGACCCTTAGGGCATCGTACCGCATGATCTCTGTCCCCCAGTTCCCCATAATACTGACCAGGTAACGTGGTCTTCTACTCTTTTCAGCCTTTACCTGGCATCTTTCTCTTAAATTATGTCTCACCCAGGTGCTCCTATAGATGGCATTGCATACGCCAGTCTTGAGGGAGGAGGGGTGTGATGGGGAGGAAGGCCATAGCTAGGTTTCCCTCAGAAATCAAGAGATCTCAGCGGCTTAGAGAAAAATCCCATATAGTGACCCTCTGAATGCAAGAAAGGATGCTTTATGGAAGGCTGGGAAAGACCTCAAGTGCTCAAGATGACACTGGAGAAAGAGAGAGACAGAGAGACAGAAGAGCCTTTGGGCAAAGCAGTCCTAAGCCAGGAAAAGAAAAGAGGGAACCGGATTCCCTAGGGGAACGTGACATTTTCAAGGATGTGAAGTTTATCTACGGTTAGAGTTTATTATGAGGATCTACGTGAGCAGATCCAAGAGAAACCAAACATCTTTTGTCTCTTTGATGCACCCCATTACTCTGCTGGGTTCTGTGGTCAGGCTGCGTTTAGTCCACAGCCCATGAGAGGGAACCAGGCTGGCTGTATACAGTTGGTGTGGGGGTGGGAAGGTGCACAGGAAGGAAAAGAATAGGGTCATTAGAAGATGTCTGGCATGAAATGGGGGCAGATCTTCTCTTGGTGGATCACAGGGATTGTATTAAAATAGCTTTCCTTAAATATAAGAAAAAGTGAATTTCCTTTTGGGTAGAATTGTCCATTCCCCAACCTGCGCCATTCTTCATTTGCTAGGGGGAGGGTAGAGCACCCTCTCTCAGTCCAGGGCAGGACACTGTGGCTGTGATCCTGCAAAGGGTAGCACCAGAAAGATTCAGAGTCTGAAGTAGTGCCCTAGGTGCCATGAGGATGACCTCTAGTCCCTGACTTCCCCTCTGGAGTCCCCCTTCTTCCTCCAAAGGCCAACCCAAGGCTGGCATGGCTCTGAGATTGGGAGAAAGGCATGGGCTGCAATGATCATGTTAAGAGGGGTCAGGAGCCTCATTTCCTGCCTACCAATGAAAAACATCTCTCCCGCTCTTCTGAAAGTGGCTGATATGAGTAAGAACAGGCAGGAGGGAAACCCTTTGTGCCATTGACTCTTCCTCAAAGAGTGGCCCTCTGGGGAGCCCTGTGCTGCTACTCAACAGGCTACCCGGTACCTCATTTGCCGCCCCCTCCCCCAGGCAGCCTCTGGGGCCTTCTTGCTTTCATTTTCCTTGAATGTACATAGGAACAGGGGAGGAAAGTCTCTTACTGAAGTGCCTGAAACCCAGAGCTAGAGCTTCTAGAGACGCTCTTCTTCCATCTCCACGTGGTGAAACTTCCCAGCGTTTTCTGGTCTCATACTTCAGCTTCTCAGAAAGAATAGAACTTGCTGTTCTAATTAGGTAGAAAGTGAGACTCAGTAATCAAACTGCAGCAAAAGGCAGAGAATTATAGGGAGACATGACTGTATTTTAACAACCCAAATCTACTCTCTCAAACTGCTATAAACACACACTTTAGGGGACTGAGAGAGAGACGCATGTTATTGTATTCCATTCATCAAAAGAGTGATGCAAAAATAAATCCGTAGAATATGAAAAGCTCGGGATCTCTCCCAAGGTACCGCAGGAAGGCCTACAGAGGTGAGATGGGGAGGATGGAAACAGGGACTGATTTTGTAGCTCTTCCAATTAGGATACCCGAGGAATAGCATTGTGGTGAAGGAGCCCACGCTCTCGGTCAGATTCATCCGGTCTACACCTTTCTGGAGCTGCCCAGTGAACTCAATTCTTCATGTGGTTTCTTGGTCATGTCAGTTTGGGTGTCCTATTAGCCTGTTCTAGTTACGTGGGAATGCGCTACACTCTTTCCCTTCAGTCTAGCCCAGGTCCAGAACTCAGTTTGATCCAAACAACAGTCTCAAGGATTGGCATGGGGAGGGGGGAAGCTTTTTTTTTAATCGCTTTTGGTCACTGAATCTACCATTTTAGGAGTAAGATTTGCTTTATGAAAATCAATTCATTAATAAAAACTACATTGAAGTTGCAACACCATTTCATAGTGAAATATTTTGAGTAAAATTTTGTTGCTAGCATAGTCATGGACAAAAGTTTTATCAGCAAAATGTTTGAATTACGTTAATAAATAAGACAATGCTACTAGTCCTGTGTCTGTCCAGAATCTTCTCTGCGAGTTGCAGAATTCATCAATTTTTTGTCATAGTCTTACTCGACGGGAGCCAACAGTTGCAAAAATGTTCTTAGAGCAGATTTTCTGCCTGGTTTAGCTGATGCCACATGTGTGATATGACAGTATATACAGCCACACCCAAGAATCATAGGTAGGGAAGAATAATTAGCAAATTTGTGAACTGTGCCTAAGAATTTTCAATTGAGAAAAATTGAATCTTAGAACCTACCTAATCTTCATAGTCTCCTATTGGTTAGCTTTGGCTCCCTAATGAAATTAGTTCTTTATGAAGCAAAAATGTATTTGTAAAAACTAAATTTGCATAACTCACTTTTGGTATAAAAGATCTTAAGTAAGACAAATCATTAAACTCACAGTTTTGGCAGTGTAAACAAGCAAAAAAAAACTGAGTAATTTGTTAATCGCTCAGTTCTGCTCTAGTAGTTATTTCATTTGTAGTTGTGACATGCTTTGTGTGTTGGTATAGATCCAAATGGTAGTTGTCATTAGCTAGTATCGGTCGTGATTCAGATGGTAAAATAGCAATTCCCCTTTAGGCCCCTCATTTAGGGCTTAGCCACTTGTTTGTCAGATTAGCGGTGCTTTTAAAAAAAATCACTTTGGTTCTTACTATGTGTTTTGTTGTTATTGTTTAAGATTGGAATTAGCTTTGTGCGTGTCCATCTGGGTTTGGTGGCCCATCGTAATGATGCTTGATATGCCTTGTAAATTGATTACTTGTGTTTACATTTGCTATTTTGGCCACCAACCTAAACACTTTTTTCTCTGTCCTGAGGGTATGTAATGTTGAAAGTTTGTTTAAAATTGGGCATAAACACTGGTTTAATTTGCTAACTTACATTAACTTATAAAATATATGTACTATGAATTAATACACATGTACATACACACTTCTTCCCTTATGACCCATAAGTAAGCTTCAGGTCTTGGAATTTCTTGGGAAGTTCCATGTAGCCCATAGAATAAAGAAAGCAGAAAAAAAAAAAAAAACCTTATCTCTATTTTCCAGGTGGCAAAATTGAGCCACAGCAAGAATCCACAACGCTCCCATGACCATGCAAAAACATTGAAAGAAGACATAATAAATATATCCCAGTCCTTGAGCCTCGTTCCAAACATTGGACATTACTGAGTATCTTCTTCCCCTTTTCCCTGGCCTCCCAAGAGTACTGACAAGAAACCACATCCTGGGATAAAATCAGAAATACCTCTGCTTAGAAGCCATAGCCTATGGGTAGGTTCATTCCTACCCCCCTCTCTAAACAGAAATCCCTATGAGTCAAAGTAGATGATGATATGCATAATGGCCTCCCAGCAGCACAATTAATCAGAAAGCTCTCAGGGGAGAAGTACAAAGGAGTTTTCACTACCAGTTAGAAATACTGATGAGAACCAGGAAGGACAGCTCTCTTAACTTGACAGAGAAGGACAAGACTGGCAACAGAGGCTAAGTCCTGAGTAGGTTCTCTCTCAGCCACACACCCCTTCTCTCTTAGGGATAATTTGTCAGGTCCTCAAAAATGAGGGAATCATGTCCATACCCAAGGGAGTCATATGAGTCACTTTTCCACTTCCCATCTCTATTCAGAGATCATCTCCCATTTATCAGGGAAGACATTCTATGACCTTCTTAACAATTTATTCCATTGAGGAATCCCTTTATGATTGCATGCTATTAACTAATGGAATCCCTCATCAAGTTCCCTAGAACATACGCTGCTTAATCTCATACTTGGCAGAGACAGACGCTGATCACTAGCTATGCATTCTAATGAATTAACTATCCCCTTTCATAGAGTAGGATTGTCACTGAGACATGGCTTCTTACCAAGGGGCTATATTTCCCAGACCCCTTGCAAGTCAGATATGGTCGTAAAACTGGGTTCTGGACCATGGAACGTGAGAGAAAGTGACGTGCATCCCCTCCCAGGCCTGGCCCACGGAAACCTTCCAGGTGTCTCCCACTTTCATGTCTTTTCCCCTTTCTAATCACTGGGATGGAAATGATTCCCAGGGCAACCTTAGAAGTCACATGTTGTAAATGGCAACGTTCTGGAAAGACCATGCAGAGGGTCACCCTACCGACTTTCTCCACATCTGTTATGAGAGCAAGAAAAATGTCTCCTGAGTTTGAGTAATGTACATTTTTAGGCCCATGTGACATAGTAGTTAATCTAATTAATACATATACATTACCTGGGCACTAGTTGTTAATTACAGTGAGAGATTTATAGGACATGTGATTATGCCAAGACAGGATTATAAATTCACTTCTACAGAAGGTAAAGCAAAGTGATCAGACCTCTCAGAATTTGTGGGGTTAATGTGACAGGAACAGAATCTTTTCCTCAGCCACTTGGTTAGATGGCCAATTCAGGATCTTAATTTATTAGATTTTTATCTATTAAAAAGCATGACAATGTACAACAGACTATTGATTTTACCTTAATTTCATAGCCGAAGAAAAAAAGACAAAAATATTAATTAAAACCCCACCCTGTTCAGGTTGTTCCAGAAATAAATCCTTCTTTATGCTGAGGAGACAGCACCAATTAACTCTTATAAAGTGCTCGAATGGTTGCAAAGGGCAAAACAAGATGTTCAGAAAAATGTGAACTCTAGGACTCATTGCTATTTCTGGGGCATTTTAGTTTCCATTGCTTTGGTACCTCCATCTTAGACGAGTTTGACAAGTTAGAAACTGACCACAGGCATCTAAGAATTATTCTTTATTCAAAAACACATCCATGAAAAGCCAAGGCAGTACAAAGGCGAGTCTGCACCAACATCTTCCAAGACGAGATGGAAGCATCTCTGGTCTTTCCAGCAATTCCCACTGGTGTAATCATGACTCAACAGTCTGTTGCAATCAGGTGTGGAAAGGGGAGGAGTGACAGCTAGAATGCAAAGAAGTGTGCACAACCCAGAGCCATCCCGGCTTTGCCAAAACCCAAGTGCCCCCCTGGGAGTGTCTTGCAACATATGTTCTGTTGAGAAGTGAGGTTGCAAACCAGGGGGTTATTGCAATAAAAACCACTTGTGATGAACGAGAGTTGTACGTTTAAATTTATTTTTTTAATGTTTGTCTTCCTTACTAGACAATCAACTCTGTGAGGGCAGAGACTACGTCACCACTGTACCCCAGCCCCTGACACACAGGAGGTACTCAATAAATATATGTTGTAAGGATGAATGGATGGATGGATGGAAGGATGGAGTCTACCCAGCTCCAGTGTGAGTAGGAACATTCTCTGCTATAGGCAGAGAGAGTGAGAAAATAAAACACACAGACACATACAATTTTTAGCATTTGAAAAGTGGGATTGAATAAGGACTAATAAATCTTCTAGATAATTGTACGTCTTTCAATGCCCAAGCTGTATTTTTCTATCACTTTGAAACCCAAATGTAAATACCTTCCCAAAGTTTGTTTTGCTGGTCGGAAATGCTTTAATAAAAGTGTAGTCTCTAACTAGTCATGGCATCACTGGAGAAAGGATGTCACTTCCAGGCCCCAGAAGAACTCAAAGGTGGCAGGACCCAAGCAGGCACCATGGCTCCAAATGGACCAGCCTTACAGCCTCTCACTCCACCACTGTTCACTTCTTCCAGCTTGAAAGTAGAACACATGTTGACAAACTGGGTGGTAAGTGGGAGGAACTCTGGTCAACAAGAAGCTTGCACTGGACACTATAAAGCAATAGTATTTTACTGGCCACAGTGTGACTGGACTTCACTCTCTGTTCAGACATTGAGAAGAATTTTCTGGGTGGGCAAAGTACAAAAAAAAAAAAAAAAATTCCGTTGGTCACATTACCCAAAAAATAAGCTGACTCTAGCCCAGCAGCATCTGTCCATACTCCAGGACTCAGTCTGTGACTCTCCTGAGGCAAACACCTGGCCGTGCAGCTTGTCCTTCCATCCAGTCTACCCTTTGGGGTCCAGGCCCTTGGCCAGTCTCATACCCAATGCTATCCACCTCATTGCCCAAGTAGTATCACACTGGTGTAACAAGACATTTATCTGGCCAAGATCTCAGGGATGGGGTCAGGTTCAGTGGACCTGAGCATGCCCATTCAAGATGTTCAAATGTCTCCATCCCACCCCAACCACATGAGATGGCTCCTGAGTTATGCATCCCAAGAACCTCAGTTGGGAAATCTCTAGAGCAGATTCACTGTTGCTCAAGAGCCTGGGTATTGTAGCAGCCTGGAGGCAGGTTGTCCCTGATGTTCTCCAGGTTCTTCACATCAGCTAGAATCCCATCTATGCTCATCTCCAGCACATGGAGGTGGCCCTGCTGCCGACGTGCTCTCTCTTCCAGCTCTGACATCAAGGGCCTCAGCTGGCTGTTGATCTGAGTCTTGGCCCGGAAGAGCTTCTGCTCCAATAAGATCAGCTTCTCTTCATCCACACTGCCAGGCTGACCTATTTGAGGGAATGAGAAAAGAGGTAATATAGAAGAGCTGTGGTTAGATCTCCTTGAACACACGTGGGCCCTCTAGACCCTTAACTAGTTCCTGTTTGCACCTGCCCAGAGGAAACGGTATGCCGTGCTTATTCTAGGGGTGTCTGGCTGGCTCAGGCGGTGGAACATGTGACTCTTGATCTCAGGGTTGTGAGTTCAAGCCCCACGGGTGGTGTGGAGTTTACTTAAAATAAAAAACTTTAAACTAAAAAAAATAATAATAAAAGGCCTATTTTACCCTGGGATATTTTACATTTGGACCACAGTATAATGTAGATAATATAGAAAATGTTCCAAGAGCTCTAGCCTAGTTACTAGTTTTGAACAGCCCAGTTCAAACCTCTGAGCTCTATAGTTAAGAAATAGGAAGCTTGGATTTCTCCTTTCACGTTGGGGCCAACAGTTCATGCTCTGAAAGGATGAAGGCTGAAGGTCACTGGAGACTGAGTACTGTCCAAGGTGCCTGCCCCACACAGCTCACCCTCGGATCAGGACCAACTCCAAATTATGTTTACTGAACTACCCTTAGGAAATATCTTGCTATTTTCCATTAGAAGACCTTTAGAAACTGGCTGGGCTTTTGGGTTTATAGAGGCCAAGGTATGCTTTGCAATTTGGGGGAGAGATTCCAGCTGTTTGGAAATGATGTAAGACTTCATTCTGGCCTGAGACAGTGGGAATCTGGCTAAATATTCATTTATTTCCCATATGAAATGTAGTCTTATTTGTTCAGGTATGTTTTACCCATACACAATCTAAAACTAATGTCAGCACGAAGGGCACCTGGCCAAACCTGTTTGATGTGCATAGGGTCTGGGTGGCCTTTGGTCAATTCAAACTCAAGGTCCAGTTGCCTCCCACATCGGAGCTGTGGTGATAGCATTTGCCTGCCCGAGTTTATTGTGCCTAGGGTGATGACATCGTGACTGGTCCAGGACTCCAGGGAGCAAACAGGAGAAACAACACCATAACAAAAATGCAGATCCAGTGGATCGGTCCTTCACTGAGGGGCAGGGGAGATTTCCAGCATTCGGGGTCTATGACATGCCGAGAAAGTTAAGTAAGCTTGGGAACAAAACCACCATGTCCACAGAGAGGCAGTACAAACTGCTCAAAAAAGGGGCAGGAGCATTGGCAACAAAGAGATCTCACTTTGAATCCCACCTCCACAGTTTATGTGATCCATGGGACCCTATCAACCCCTCTGAGCCTCAGTTTACTGCTCCGTGAGATAAAATAATAAAAGAAATAAAACCTGTCTCATAGGACCTTTAAAAGACTTAAGTGATATTGCACCAGAGAACACCTGGCAGAGTGCCTGACACCTAGTAAATGTTTAATAATCCCCACCAACTTCTTTCCCCCACGCTCTCATTTTCTCTTGAAAGGCCCTATTTGTTTCATTACCTTTTTCAGAACACTAAACAAAGCTGCTAAAAGCTCCACTGGGGAGTTGGGGTTTTGGGTTTTTTTTTTACCCTTAGAGGGTCTTTACTCTTTGGGGCTCACTGGACCACAAAGCAGACTCATTAGTATAACAACACAGACAATATTGATCTTCCAGGGTAAGTGAGGATGGTACTCCACAGAAAAATCAGATTTTAAAATTCTTCAGCTAGGGCGCCTGGGTGGCTCAGTTGGTTAAGTGTCTGCCTTCGGCTCAGGTCATGGTCCCAGGGTCCTGGGACCAAGCCCCATGTCAGGGTCCCTGCTCAGCAGGAGTCTGCTTCTCCCTCTGCCTCTCCCCCTCCCCTTGCTTGTGCACTCTCTCTCAAAATGAATAAATAAATAAATAAAAATCTTTCAAAAAATAGTAAAGTTGTTCTGCTGAACCTAAAAGGTAGAACCAAGCCTTTTCTGGAATGTGGCTGGAATCTATGACTGAATCCTTTGTTCCCTATCTGCAGCAGTCTACGCTTCATAAGACAGGCCGAATGAGGGTTTGCTATCAGTTTTACCAATCCGAAATGTTAATCCTCATCAGTTTTTTGCGGGGGAGGGATTCTGTGGGTAAATCTGAATTCTTGCCAACCTGTGCCATCAAATCTATTTTACTTGAAAATTTTGCAGTATCTCATGTACCTACTACCTTTACATTTCTTCTGGGCTCTCAACCCCAGGTCCCACAACTGGTTATATCAGGGTATAACTGCGGGCTGGGGACAAACAGCAGAATCGACAAGTGTCTCTTGACTTCACAGGCTGGGAGAACTCCCCTCTCACCATTTCTACTGCCTCAGAGCTCAGGCTCTGTCATCTCCCTCCTCGATTCACTCCGCCATTTCCAAAGTGGTCTCACCCTGCCTTTTGTCTAACCAAGGCTGCTCCACTCACTCGTGCAACTCCACTTAGTGATCTTTCTGAATCTATGGTGATGATGTTATTCCTCTGCCCACAACTGCCCACAAGCTTCTCAGGACCAAGGTCAGAATCCTTAGCAGGACTGTCAAACTGTCCAATCTTCTCTTGAGCCGTGAAGTTTGAATACTGCCTCCACAGTTTACTATGGGATCAGTGAGACATGATTAACCTCTTTGTGCTTCAATATACCTTCCCTAAATACACCCAGATCTTTGAGCTACAGACTTTCACCTCCAAGGGCAATAGGTACTCCGTGACCCATCTTTAGATGGTAAAATAGAGTCCAGACAATGTAAAGTTGTATGCCCAAAGTATCTGGGCTTAGAAATAAAACAAATTTCTGATACCCTTAAGGGTACTCTTAAGGCTTCCATTTATCAGGGCTAGGTCTAGCTCGTCTTCTGAGAGCAGCCCTGGAGCATGGGGCTGGAAGCTTGTGGATACTGCACATACTTATGAGGTGTAGGATGCTGTCCAATGAGTTGAGTGTGTCTTGGATCGTAGCTCCAGCATTCTTGGCTCTGTTATCAACTCTTTGGGCTTCTGTAATTACCTGAAGAAAAAGCAATACAAAGCAGTCTTGAAAGGGTGTCTCTCATATTGGCCAGTTTAAAGGAATCTCCCACGGAGAACGAGGGGAACTGACCATCTGCACTGCGTCCATATCCAGGTCAAACTCTTGCTCCTTTCTGGCCAGCTCTCCTTCCACTTCCCTCACCTCACTCTTCAGTGTGGCCAGTCCCTTCTCCATGGCCAAGGCTCCATCTGCTGTCACATTGGCTCCCAAGTTCAGACTTCCTATCTCCTGGGAAAAGAAAGGGAGCCAGGGCCGGGAGGAGAGAGAGGGGTGAGGCACAAAAACGTCCCAGGGACGAAAAGAGAAAAACAGCTGCAGCCAGACCCTGCTGGAGTAAGTTAGATGAACAACAAGAGTCAGACTTGGAGACACACCCTTCTCCAAGCTCTGCTTCCAACAAATTAATTTGGGGGTATGTCTGTAGGGACTAGGAGGGTCAGCAGTGAGACACTGATTCCCTCTCAGGTCAACGCTCACCAAAAAGTGAACACAATAAAAACTATTTGGGAAAACCCAGAGGGTGAGAAATTCACATCATTTCCTGTCATAGTTCTTTGCTGCCACAGTCGTTTGAGCAACTTTACTGGGATCCTTGAGACAGCTGAGTTCAAGGTGCAGAGAATGAAAATGGGCAACAGCTGTGGCTCTTGTTTTTATTAGGACAAAGTTTATCAATATCTTTACCCATAAGCTGTTATTAAACATCAAATTGCAGGTATCTCTGTGCTAAAAGGCATATAAAGAGAGCCACATGAAACTGGTCTCCACCCTCAAGGGACTTAAAATTAGAAATTATTCTTGCAAATTACCAAGTGGTCCAAGAGTGAGGTCAAATAGTCCAGATCCTAAGAGTTTCCTCTGGGCTTTCTAGAGTTGCATAAGCTTTTTAGAAGTCATGCCGAATGAGAGCTAAGGCCCTCTCTTCCAGCCGAGAAGCACAACTTCTACTACAGCATTTCACATAGGGGTTGTGTATCTAGTCTATCTCCCCCCATTACACGGAATGCTCTTTGAAGAGAAGGACTGGGTCTTTCTCATCTTCATACCTCCAGCACCAAGCACAGCGCTGGCACATAGTGGAAACAACAACAACAAAAATGAATACGCAGAACTTAGACATAGAAAATAGAGATAAGGGAACTAGAACTCCAGAATTTCATAATCTTGAGTCAAACACCGATGATTGTTGTTATGGGGTTGAATTGTGTCCTCAAAAAGATATGTTGATGTCCCAAATCCTAGGACCTCAGAACGTGACCTGATTTGGAAGTAGAGTTGTTGCAGATTCAGTTACTTAAGATAAGGTTATACTGGAGTCCAGTGGTCCCCTAATTCAAAATGACCACTGTCCTTATAAGAAGGGTCAGAGATATCCAGGGAGAAAAACCTCACGTGATGATAGAGGCAGAGATTGGAGTGACGTCATTGCAAACCAAGCAACGGTAAGGAGTGAGAGTCACCACCAGAAGCTAGGAATAAGCAGGCAAGGTTTCTACCCAAGAGCCTCCAAGGGACTGTGACTCTGCTGACATCTTGATTTCTACTTCTAGCCTCCAGAACTGTGAGAGAATAAACTTCTGTTGTCTTAAGCCATCCAGCCTGTGGTACTTTGTTACAGCAGCTGTAGGACACTAATACAAGAGTTGATACAAAAACCCAAACTTGGATGGTTCTTCTCATGGTATTGTCCAAAAAGGGAGCGGAAAATTTAGGTTCTAGCTCTCGGTCAATGAAAGCCTTGTGACTCAACCAACAAAAGGGGGCACATAAGTGGCTCTGGGGCTGCCACGGACCACGACAGCCCTCTGAGATCTAGGGGCCAAAATGAGCCCAATGCTCTCTCTCTTCCCACACGACCCTTGCGTTTGGGGCTGCACGTGCCCCAACCTGCATTTCGATTGCTCTTTACCTGTTCTATCTTGTCAGTGATCTCCAGGGCCTCCCTGGCTGTGGTCTTGGCCCTGTGGGTGTCGGCAGCAGCACCGCCCAGGGCTGTTTCTGCTTGCTTGGTCTTGTCACTGGCATCTGCGACCTTCTGGCTGATGTAGGAGAGTCTCTTCATGGCCTCTTCTGCTTCTGCTTTTCTGTCTTCAACCTGCAAGTCAAACTCTGAAATGAAGACAAGAAAACAAAAGTGACTTGTGAAACTTAACAAATGAAATTGAATGGGGCTGAAGTTTTTAAGAAAAATCCCAGGAAAAGGGTTATTACTGCCTGGGGGCAAGAGTGTGGGAAGTTGTGGCTGTTACCGCCCTTTCTTATCGAGCAGAAAGCCGCTTAAAGGAGGCACTGAAAGGGCCATGATTAGGCCGTTGCTTAGAGAAACTGACAATCAGCCTGCCCTGGGTCCCCACCACTGCAAGAGTATTAAGACCCCAAAGTAGATCAGAAATAGGTGAAATCTCTGAAGCCCAAAGTTTCAAGCCAGAGCCTTAAACCCGAAGCTGCCAATGATGAGAATTGGAGGTTGAACAGAATGGGTAGAGAGGTTCTTTCTGTGAAGAAAATCCCAAGACTTGAGAAATGTTTCTTTTTGTTCTTTACTGAAGAAACCTGAAATTGTAAACCAAATCTCTACAAGGCACAAACCCAGATTTCCTGGGATCCAGGTGCTGTGACAGTTTGCTCTATCATCACCACAAAGCAACCACATGGATTATATATTGGAATCAACCAGGCTACAAAAGAAAAGGGAAAAATATCTGTGTTGTAGTAGGATGTTGGATCTGTGAAGGACCTTAGAGATCCTTCTTTCTTTAAAGAAGAGGCTGTTAGGGTCTGGAAAGGCTGTGACTTGCCTATGGTCACACAGTCTGCTCAGAGCCGTCATGAGGCCCAGCCAAGCTCAGAACTCAAGCCTTCTGACATCTAGTTAAATTCTTTCCACTACATCAAATATTAATACAATTTCTTACTTTAGGAAGGTATTTATTAAGCGTCTGTTAATATCCCAATGTACCTATAATTTAGAGAGATACACAGGGACTCAAAATAAATCAAAGTTGTGGTTATTCCTTTAACATACTCAAGTGACCTGGACCATGAAATGCTTACCTCTGAGGTTCTTTAGGATGTTCTCAACCTCATAAAAAGTGGCATTGCCCATACTTAGTGCTTCTTGGGCTCTGCTTTTAGCAAGGTTGGCACGGGAAAGCAGCTGATCTGATGTCTGTAAACCAGCAGACAGAATAAGATTAGAGTAAATGTAACATACACCTAGAAGGAGCATTCTGACCAGCAGAATCACTTGGACATATTTCTCTTCGTGACAACTGAGTGCTGTGATTCACCAGAAAGTCTAGGGGTGCTGTCGCAAAGCCCTCCACAATCTGGGACAGAGCAAACTTTATAAACCAACGACACATCCTGTATAGGGAACAGTCTCAAACTCCAGTCCACTATCAAGGACAAGTACAGTTCTGCAAATCATAATTTTATACTCTAGATACTTCCTAAAGCCAAGCTAGTAGAAAAAGTTGGACCAAAATTGAACTCAGGAGGCCTGAGTCCTATTCCTAGGTTTGAGGGCCGATTCAGTGGGTAGAACAGAACTAATTACATCAAGCTGTCTGTATCTCAGTTACTCCATCTACAAGCAGTGGTACCATGACCTTCAGAGAGTTTCCTAGGGTTGCATATTTATGGCCTCTTGCCATATTTATTCATATGGAGGCATCCAGTACCTGTTAGTTGAGTGAATGAGTTAATAAAAGGATACCTGTCTCCCATTCTTTCCATTCTGTAAGAGCTGCTGGGTTTCTTCTTCCCAGTTTCCCAGACTGCTTTGCACATGCTTGAACTCATCCATACGCCTAGTCACCAGGCTTGAGAGAGAGTCAGTTTTTTGTTTGATCCTCTTCACTTCTACCTGTAAGCCCAAAGACATGAAGGAGTCTGACTTTCCGCCCACCAGTCGCCACACCAGCCTTCTTAGGAGCTTGAAAACAACAGCAATCCAGACACAAAGTTTAATAGAAATGAAGCAAAACGCCTAATGATAGTCAGGTGGCAGTTTCCCCAAGCATCAAACAGGTCTTGTCTCTCTCTCTCTCTTTTTAAATTTTACATGTTGGTTTATACATGCGTGGAAACACTTTTATGGGAATCATTGTGTAGTGCTTTTTGCGTAGGTAGAAAGCTGAATCTTCTTAATGTAATACATTTGTAATAGTTAAAGGAATCAATGACAGAAACAATGTAAAACTTCTGAGAAAAACAAAAGTCTTCTGAATGGCTGTACATAGAAATGTACTATAGTTTGGACCCAAATGTAAATAGCAAGCTTTATCTCTAATAATTTCCCACAAGTTTCAGTAGTCCCCAAAACTAAGGAGGAGATATAAAATTGTTATCCACTCATAGGTTCAGGATGTGGGCTAAGGCTTTTTCAGAGGCAAAGACTGGAGTTTAAGAACAAGGAAATTGTTAACAAGAAGGATATTCTTCCTAATCAAACACAAGAAAGGTCCCTGTGGAGGAAAAGTTGAATGACCGAACCATGGTATGGAATCCCCAGAGAAGCAAGCACCATGGCCCTTCTGTCCATCAAGCACATCAGTACATGCCCTCACCTGGAAAGACTGATCATTGACTCCTGGCAGCTGAGCCACAGAATTGAGAAGGCGAAGACTATGCTGATAAGACCTTTCTGCTTCAGTGTCAGTTTGAGTGGCCTCCCCCGACAGTTGCTGGGCCAGGGACTTGGCTTTCTCCAACCTGCAGGGTGGGGAGAAAGAGAACTTTGAGGAATCACTCTTTTTATTAAAAGCAAACATTCATCTTTGTTGTGTCAAAAGTATGCAGTTGGAGTTATCAGAAGAACCGAATGAGGTTATGTGACAGATATGTGTCCCTCTCCACAATCTAAACATAAGCCTTAATGTTTATGCAGGTTGGGTTGGAAGAATTCAGCCCAAGTTTCCCAATTCTTGATAATATATTCTTTTTATCTCCCCCATGTCATCAGATGCATTTACTCAACCACCACAACTTCTCCAAGCATTGCAATCTCTCAGTCAAAACACAAGTTTTACTTAATCAGTTTTTTCTGATTCTCCAGACATAAAGGCATGTCCCTTCCCCCAAATTAACGCTCTCATTCTCTTGTCCCTTAGGATTAATATCTTTTAATGAAGCACCGGTGCCCCTCGAACGTGGTTTGCACTACACTCTGGAAGGATGCGGATAATCTTGGCCCAGGTGAGGACCCGTCGAACATACTTTCCCATAAGCCCTCGCACCGCAGAGCCGTCCGCGCTGCCCCCGCCGCCTCCTTCCTGCAGGGCCTTGTGTGCCAGTGACAGTGCTTGTTTGGAATAGTCCTCGGTTTCCCTTACCAGCTGCTCCATGTTACTGGCTGACCCAACATGGCTGAAAGGATTAAAAACAAAAAATTGTGGAGTTTTCATCGCAAGGGGCTTCCTTTCAGTCTTTCATTGGAAGGAAGGGAGAGGAGTAAGGGAACTGGTTTGTCTAGAAAAGCCAAACAGAATTAACCCAGATTAGACGGAATTAGAGGATCTGTCAGGAAGCAGGAGGTGTTCTGGAGATGGAGCGCATGTCTTAGACCCTAGCTGGTGATCTTTTCCGTTTATGGCGTAACCAGGGGAGCAGGGTGTGGGGCGGGGAAACGGGTGCGAGCAGTCTCAGGGGGATAAAGTACCGCATTTATAAGCTGTTTTGTGCAGGAAGAAACACCTAGGTCTTATTTCATCCAGGACCCACCCCTCTCCCCTCACTTTTGCTCAAATTCTACATTGGGTCCACCACTAGAGGGGACAGAGCCTGCCAATAAAATCCCCCAAATGCTTACAAAGTGATAAAAACAAACAACACAACAACAAAAAACAAGCTCAGCAGGCAGTTTATGTTACAAAACACAAATCAACCTCCTTCACTGACTGAATTCCATCTGGGATTAGCAGAGCCTGCCACCCTGCTGAGCACTCTGCTAGGAGCAAACCTCTTTAACACGGTAGGATTTACAGTCAGGCAAGGACTAGGGAGCAGCCTGTTATCCCTGGGGTCCTGCAGAGCCGGTTTTGGGGAGGAGGTTCCCTCTCTGCAGTCTTGGCTCCCACAGGCTAGCAAACAACTCGTTGCTACTTGTTCCCAGGCTTGATGTGGGAGCCTGGGAGTCCCTCAAAGCTGCAGAACGTTCTTTTCCAAAGGCTGATTCATTTCACGGGGCCCGAAAAAGCACATCTGACACACACCAGAGCCATACTGTGAGTCATAGAAAAATCTGGGGTAAAAAACACCCCCACCCCCAACACTTGCCAAATGACCATGCCCAGTGGCCACCTACATAGGCTAAAAGCCAAGAGGTTTAAAAAAATGGCTTCAAGGCAAGGAAAGGGCTGCAAAGGTGCCGAGAGGTAATGAATATATTGCTTAGGTCCTGAATACCCTACCGTCTTGTTCAAGTCTGGCCTTGCAGAGGTAGTCCGAAGCAGGGGCCCGCTTACCTGTCTGCCAATCTTGTGGCCTCCTGGGCCAGGCTTTTAAAACCATTTGGCCCCACGTAGTGCTCTGAGGAAGCAATGTTCTGTGGAAAAAGGAGAATTGGTTAAAGCTTTGCACTCAGCCCTGGAGCCTAAGTAGGTTCTGCATCTGTCCTGTTAGAACTAGTTGTCATTAGCCACAGAGCATTCTACACCCTGACACATCAAGAGTCCCTAGTCACCATGATCATTACATTAAAAAAAAAAAAAGTATAGACAAGAATAAAGTAGAAATCCAGGGCTCCTGGGTGGCTCAGTTAAGCGTCTGACTCTTGATTTCAGCTCAGGTCATGATCTCAGGGTTGTGAGATTGAGCCCCGCATTGGGCTCCCTGCTCTGTGGGGAGTCTGCTTGAGATTCTTTCCCTGCCCCTCTCCCTCAGCCCCTCCTCTGCTCGCTCGCTCTCTCGAATAAATAAATAAATCTTAAAAAAAAAGAATAAAGTGGAAATCCAATTTAAAAAAACTGTAAATAGAAATAGATTCATTTAAAAATATATATATGTTAATAGTATTTTCATATGTATTTAAAGTCAACAGACTATATACCAAGTTTCAATGATGGTTATTTCTTAATAATGGGATCATAGGAGATTTTTATTTATTTTCTAAATTTTCTACAATAAATATTATTTTTGTAATAAGGGGAAAAAAATCAGTACACATTATTCTTTAAATCCTTCATTTTGCCAGCATAAAACCTGATTATCTTCCAGGATCCTTTATTCATTTTCTACCCACCCACCTACACTTCTGTCACCATCACCTTCTTTGCTGAGAAAGAGAGGAGGGCCCATTTAAATCTCTCCCTCCTATCACACTACAAACTACATCATTAAGAAAATCACGTTGGCAACAATTTTTTCCCCTTTCCAGAATCCTGTCTTCACTGGATTCCTTCCTTCTCCCCACCATTCCTCCCGTTTCATTTGTTCATGAAATGGACATTCACTCATTCATTCCTTCATTCATTCATGCGGCAAACATGTATCACAGCCACACACTGTGCTGGGGGCTGAGAATGCAAACATGAGCAAAACTAAATCCTGCCCACTAGGAGCTAACCAGCTAGGAGGTGTGCAGCAAGAAGGGAGAGGAGAGAGGGCCAACATGAGGTTATGGTTAGCAAGAAATGAGCTAGGAAGAACATACATGCAGTAAAATGGGAAACTGCAGGAAGCCCAAGAACACAAAGAACAGGTATGCCTGTTTCAAGGAAGAGAAGTTCAGCTCTCTACCGGGTAGACCGAAAAGTGTGAGAGACGGCGGGTGGGTGCCCCGATACGGCAGTGATCCTCAGTACCCTGAACCCAGCGACACCTACAGTGTTTCTCAGGGAGGCCTCGCTCTCCTCCAGGCTCAGGTGCAGCTGGGTGACCAGTCTGTGAGTATCCTGAGCTCGGTCCTGATACTGACTGCCCAGGGCCCGGAGTCTTTCCATAGTCGTCTTGAGGTCATTGAGGCGGTTCCAGTAGCTATTCTCTTCGCTCCTTGCCTTGACCAGCTGGAGACTGAGAGATTTACTAGCACCTGGTGCCAACAAGGAAGAGGAGGATGAGCACTTCTGGAGTCAGCACAGAGAAACAGGACATGAGGGAGGGCTGAAGAGTGACTTTGATTGGCTAATAGCAAAATGGTAAAAACCCAATAAATGAAAGCATGCAGCCACTCTCTTATCACCATCATTCAGGTCCCAGGAGATCACAGACAGTCCTTTTCTCTCTCCAAGTGCTGGACAGAGACACCCACCGAGCTGATACCCGACAGAAGATTATACATTCCCTTCTGTCTAGAGGACAATTGGCCTTCATCACCTTCTGAAATCTGGGCTTCTCTCAGAATGTCCTGAAGGGCCTGCTCAGCCTGTTGCATCCTGTCTTCCAGCTCTGTGTCAGGCACCACTCCGCCACCACCCTGAGCCCTTGAAACCAGGGCCTCCAGGCTCTGGAGCTGCTGCATAAACTGGTCCATCTGAAACCACACAGGAAAGAGGATCAGACTGTGGGGATCACAGTCCAATACCAGGTACTCAGGGGAGAACAGCTAAAAGCCCAGAAATGCTTGGCATGTCATGGTAGTTAAAGATGCTAGAGCCTAGAGTTTGAATCCTGGCCCCACTACTCATTAGCTGTCAGTGTGACCTTGGGCAAGTCACTTTCATTACCCATTAGATGGGGATAATAATAATACCTCATAGTTATTACTTGGACTAAGTGAGTTAGTATTTGGATAGTGCTTGGAACACTGTCTGGAACAAAGAAAGTGCTATAGAGGGCAGGTTAAATAGAAAAGTTAACAAAAAAAACAAGTTGAGTTTGTTCTACCTTTGGGGTTCTGTTTGGGCCTTTTCTTCCTTCGCCCTTCACCCCAACAAAATAATAATAATTAACAACAACATCAATTTCATTCTTCTCTGGAATGTGAATGAGAAATTTCTGGAGGCCATTCTTGTTTGAGCAGCCTTGACACCTTCTAGACTCCTCAAATCTACATATTTACGTTTTTCTTCGTTTGTTTTACAAAGACATCTCTTGGAAAAAATCCAGCTAGGAAGTGGCATGTTATAAGTGGAAAGAGTACTGAACTGAGCAAAGTCTCCAAACATTTGCAATTTTTCAGTCACGTGGCCAGGTGGAACCAAGAATCAGGGAATTTGGGGTGGGACTCTTGGTTCCACCTGGCCATGTGACTGAAAAATTGCAAATGTTTGGAGACTTTGCTCAGTGACTGACTTTAGAACGCCTTCTCTTGCAGACTGACTAAGTCGTCAAGAGTACCCAATCAGACAGTATCTTCAAAAGGGATCTTGAAAATGGTGTATATAAGAGCACAAACCTGAAGCATTATTACTTCTATATGGAAGTTTTTAAAGAAAGAAATAGTAATCTCCACCCTCATCGCCGGGAGACTAAGAGGGTCCTAGATTTGTGACAGACCCACCCAGTGGACACCTAACGATTTTACTCATGGGGGTGAGGGTTGGGTGGCATGCACACCTGAATCTTCACTTGATTATAGCAAGCTGGACAGCTGGTTAGTGCTGCATGCTCACAGGTGAGGCCGCCAAATCCCGGCTTGCAAACACAGCTGCCATCATTTCTACATTCCCCAGGCTCTGAGCCCGCTGGGTTGCAGTTGCAAGCTAGAGACAAAAGACAAACAGAAAGCATTCATATCAAGTTAATTCTAGAAACTGTAGGGTATGGCAAAGATAAAAGGAAGAAGTTCAAGTGACCAATGGCAAAGTCACTGCACATTGTGCTAGATCCATCTCTCTAGAAATGTGCCTCTAAGCACATTTCTAATATAGATAGATCTTAGGAATCATCTAGAAGTTTGTTTGGTGTGGGTGTGGATAAAGAGATCCTACAACAGTCCACCCTTTCTGGTGGCACTTATTCTTTTTTTCCTCCCATTAAATTGTAAGCCTGTTGGATATTCTGTAGGCACTCTAGCTTTGCTCAAAAGGGGAACAACATGTCTTCTGGACCTATTACATGCCAGATGTAATCTCTCTCTATTTTACAGATGAGGACTATGAGCTCAGAGAGGTTGAGTAATCTATCCTAGGTCACACAGCAAGTAAATGGTAAACTGGAATGAGAGCTTGGAAAGAGGCATTGCTCTTTTCCTTTTGCTCTGCTGCCTTTGATGTAGGAAATGCAGTAAAAAAAAAAAAAGCAGTACCTTTATTCATTCATAGTGATTGCGCACCTACTACGTGCCACACTGTTCTAGGAGCTGAGGATATACCAGTGGGTGAGACACTGCACTAAGGGAGTTACGGTGATTCTCTGGGTTGCTCTATGGCGCTCACAAAACACTTGGCACATGGTAATATGATCACATATCTAAGTATACTGTCATTATTTGCTTACATACTTTTGTGTCTTCCTTATTAGCATATGATCTCTTTGGGGGCTGGAACTGACTTATGACCTCAGTATGTAGCTGCACATCGGGTCCATGGTAGTAGGTGCTTGACAACAGATGGTGGAATGAAGAAATGTATGGTCTAAAGCCAGTGAAGTCTCTATTAATAGCATCTTGTAACTGGTATTCTATCCTTTACAGTGTACCTTCTCAGATGCGATTTCATTTTATATTTGCAACCACTTTGAGTTAAATATTATTCATCCGTATGAAGAAACTGAGGCTCAGAGAGATCAGTTGGCATAACCAGTGTAATACAATAGGTATGGTAAAAAACTAGACTTGAACTCAGTACTGCTCATAGCATGTGGGCTCTTTCCTTATCAGGGGGTACTTTCTAGCACATCAGAGCTAACCCACAGGTTGGGGTTAGGGCGGGTGGGATTTGTGTTCCTGGGTGGAAGCCCCAGGTTAAACAGAGGTCCCTGGGCATTTCCAGGGCTGGGGATTCTGGGGTGAGTGGGAGGTGCTGGGCTCCCTGCAGACCTCCTGGGGAACCAGGAGCCCTCCCATCTGGGTGCCCAGAGGCCCGCTCTGGCTCTGTTATAATAAACAAGCCCCTGAGTTCTGGGCACCAGGGCTAGCTAGTCTGGGACCTTTGTGACTGAGGGGTGAGTCTGTGGGGCAGGCCAGGACCCTAGAACTGAACTTGAACTTGCCTAGAACTAAACTTGCCTCCTGAATATAACATGTACGGAAGCTTGATAGAAGGGTCGAGCGAGAGGACTGATGTATACATTTACACTTTGATCTGAAGCAGCCCTAAGGAATGCGCCCTGATAGCGGTGAGGCTGAAGCCAAGTCTCGTTAGTAGAACTTGGAACTGTTACCTTTGTCTACAATTACACTGATTTCCTGAGAGGGTTTTTTAAACTGCTGCCCACCCCCCCACACCCCCCCCCCCCCCCACCCCCCTGCCGCATGTGTTCAGGCTTAGTCTCAAGTCGTTTCCTGCTGTCCTGGAACAAGCTTGGCAGCACTCCTGCCAAGCCTTGGAATGAGGCATATGGCCTGGCCCCATTCCATCTCCTCTTCCACTCAGGAATGTAAACTCGACCTTTTTCTCTTCTCCCGCCCAGCTTTAACCCATTCAACATCCTCCAGCTCTGTCCTCCAGAAGCCTGCTGCAGGGGTCTTAAGGCCTTTGACAGGTGAGAGGTCCAGACTGTTCGTAGGCCAGTTGGTCAGAGAAACCAAAGCGGCCTACTCTTACCTGCTGCTGGCCTCGCTGATCGGTAGTTCTCACATGTGTGCAAGCCAGTGAGCTTACACGTACCCATGTGCGTGCGCAGCCCCCCCTCAACCGGACAACCTGTCTGGGGACGCAGTCCTACCTCGACACTTGTCCGCCGGGTTGGGAGCCAACGGGTCCCCAAAGTAGCCTGCTTTGCACTGGTCGCAGTGGACACCTGCCGTGTTGTGGATGCACTTCAGACACCTGCCTGTCAGGCGGTCGCAGTTCCCAGAGGCACTGGGGTCCACGTTGTTGTTGCACTGACAGGGCTGACAAGGCCTCACTGGGCCACGTTCCCCAAAGGGGTCCCCAAAGTATCCATCAGCACAGAGCTCACAGCGGGCTCCTGGAAGGAACAAATGCCCAAGCCTGAGTGGTCATCTGCTGGCAGCAACACCAGTCGCCCTTCTAGAAGAGCTTCCCACCCTGGACCCCAGAACAGTAGCCTCAGGGGCAGGTGCTCAGGGCAAGAGCTGGGCTCTTTCGCTCCACGGTGGTCCCTGATGTTAGAACACAGCAGCCCTGCTAGGAGGCTTCCTGCCAGTTAACTAGGTGGTCGGGGAAAAGTCAGATTTATAGCAATACCACTGAGGCTGTTGCTGAAGAATTAACTTGTTTTAGATGGGCCAGCAGAGGGATGTGCCTTTATTCTTTTATTTATTTATTTTTTTAAATAATCTCCACACCCAACATGGGGCTCGAACCCACAACCCCGAGACCCAGAGTCGCATGCCCTACCGACTGAGCCAGCCAGGCGCCCCAGGAGAGAGATGTGACAAACTAAGTTTCCCTTCTGTTCCCTGGCTCATTGTGTAAAGCTTGGTTAAACCACGTATTTCGGGGCGCCTGGGTGGCTCAGTTGATTAAGCATCTGCCTTTCGCTCAGGTCATGATCTCAGTCTTGGGATTGAGTCCCGAGTTGGGCTTCTTGCTTAGCGGGGAGGCTGCTCCTCCCTTTCCTCCCCACTCATGCTCTCTCTCACTATCTCTATATGTCTCTCTCTCTCAAATAAATAAATAAAATCTTTAAAATAAACCACATATTTCATCTGAAAACTTCATCTCCTAATGACAAACCTAAAACAACATTAACCATACGTACATCCCCTATAAACCATGCCCTGCCCTTCCTCCATCCACCCTTTGGGCACATTCTTATCTTTAGAATGAGCCCTTCTACAGTAACCCTAAGTAATTATAATCCCCTAGAGACTGCTTGGAATAGCAGCCATTCACGGGAATTCATGGTGCCGGCGTGGGGGCAGCAGTGCGGGGCCTTACCCGTGACCCCCTGGGGACAGTTATTGCACACCACCTCCTCTGTCTCTGGCATGACAGAGCAGCTGAACCCATTGTGGCAGGGACATGGCTTGCAGCTGCGGGGGTCGTGTGGGTCGTTGTAGAAACCGATGGGGCAGTCGGCGCACTCGATGTCAAGGTTTTCATCCCCTGAATAACAGTCTCCTGGGAGGCAGAGGAAGAAGGGAGGGCAGAGAAACGAGCAGGGTAAAACAATACACTTCCTGTAATATGGGTGATGCGTGGGAGGCAGAGCTCTGGAACCAAAACTTTCCTTTCCGAAGCTTTCCCCGAAGTGTCTGAGCACCGGCATTCACCTTTGCCCTAGTACCAACTCTAAACCTGGCCACGACCCTGACTCTTACGTGGCTCCCCCATGCTCAGTAGACCTAGCTTCCTTTCCCACCCATAATGTAACACTTCCCACCCCCATGGCCTGACACCATTTGTCCGCACATTCATTCAGGCCCTGACATTGCCTTTGATCTCTCCAAACAATTGAAACTTGACACCAACGACACCCCCAGCACTGAACCATGACAGCCGTCTCCTGTAACCTGGTACCTTTCCCACACCCTCGCGGCATGTTCCATAATGAAAAGGATTGAGTGTAATAAAGCACCATGTCCGTCTTCTCTGACTCCAGCCCTACCTTCCTAATCCTTTCCCGTCTCCGAAATGAGTGCAGGCAGAGTCTTCCTTACACAGCTGTCTCTTGCACGGGAGACCCCAGTCACCTGACCACCCCTGGCCCCCCCCGGGCCAGGTGTCCTTTCACGCACCTGTGTCTGGATCGCAGGCTCCTCCCCCCTGGCAGTTACATGGAATACAGGTGCCAAAAGGTCCCAGTCTGGCAGAATCTCTTTTGTAGCCGGAAGCACAATCCTGGCAGAACTGGCCCTTGTAGCCAACGGGACACACGCACTGTTCGACCCAGGGAGCTGGGGCTCCGGAGATGGGGCGGGCTGAAATCAGGGTCACATTGTCGAGGTACCCAGTACCTGCCATTCGGAGATCGGGTTAGAAAGAGCAAGTGGTGAGGTCGAAAGATCTAAAGGCAGGCCTCTCTTTGGATTTTATTTTTCTTAACTCGCTAACAAAGACAGGTGGCGTTCACTCACTATGCCCTGGGTAGACGTACCGCCATCCGTCCTGACTGAGGCACAGGCTGTGGTGTCAGGAAAGGCAGGGTTTAAATTTTGGCTCCACCCTCACTAGCTGTGCGAATTGGGCAAGTCACACACAACTTGCTACCATGGTGTTTCCTCAAGTGTGGAAAAGAAGTAACAGTGGTATGGATCTCCCGTGTTGGTTATGAAATGAAATGAGACAATGCATATATTATAATGTGCCTGGCTCGAAGTAAAGATTCAATAAAATTGTTAACAAACACCTTTTCTACATGCTGTTTGATTTGCTTTGTTAGTGATGTGGAAATTAGGCATGCCAGAGAGCGATGCTTCCTGTTTGTGTAAGTGCTAAAAAGCTCAAGGAACTCACATTTACAGAATTCCAGGTGGGATCGGAGTCCCCCCATGTGAAGTTCAATAAAAGGAGTTAACAGAGTACAGGTGATGTCTGAATACGGTAGCACCGAGTATAATCCCCAAGGAGCAGCAACTCAAGGAACAGAGGGCTGAGTTGTAGATGCCATTTCCTAGCTAAGGGGACAAGCCCATTTGTTGTAGATTATCTTCTTCAAATAATCAGCTTTCATCTAAATTTGGAGACTCTTAAGCAAAGGAGCATCATTCACTCTTCATTGGTGTTAACTTCTTTTTAGAGGAACATGACTTTTAACAACTTCTAGCGTATAAGAATTTAGACCCAATCGGAGACCCTCCATCAAAACCACCAAGTAGTTTACCTACTTGTTTGGAGACTGTCACCACCTCAGGAAGCTGAGACAAACTCAAACCTAAGAGAGAAATTAATTTTCCTTCGTCACTTACTGTATTCTCCATAAGTAGCTCGGATCCGCAGGGCTGTGAGGTTACGCAATAACCTCCGATACTCGAAGTAACTCAGCTGGGGGCTCCAATTACTGTTTGGACGTTCATTTAATCTGAGGGATTTAAAGCCCAAAGCTTAAAAATACAACTCTTATCAAGTCTTATAATTTGTATACATGATATAAATTATATGCCCAAGAAGGTGGGAACCGCTAAGCCCCTTCACGGCCCTGCCTAGAGGGGGATGAAGGATGGGTAGCTGCATCCTTGTAGGCTTGAACTTGGAGTTTGCTCTCTCTGCAGGGAGCATGAACCCCACAGGAAGTGATGGAGGGCATCCCAGTGCAAGAAGCGCAGCCCCAGGGGTCATGGCATCCAGTGCTGGCCCGAGTCCTCAGAGACCACTTTCTATTCCTGGCCACACAAAACTTAGTATCAGGAACATCGCTGAGTTCAAGAAGCTCTGACCCTCAAGAGAGCTACCATTAATTTTTGGTTTTGTTGTTTAAATGGTTTGTTAACTGAGCACATTTCACTTACTCTTTTCAAAAGTCAGCTTTCACGTTCTACGTTGGACACGTCCAATACTTCTTCATTTAGCATGATGATATCTCACAGCATCATATCATCATCCCCTGCACGGGTCTTTCAAATGTTGTTCTGTTTTTTACTGGAATCCTTCCAGGAACAACCCAACTTCTTTTCTTTAGTTCACTGACCTCACTTCTCACTGTATTCCTCTCCCCCACTCCACACTTCACTCATGCTTAACTACTTAGAATTTCCTAATGCACAAAACGTCCTCAAGCATGATTATTTCCCCTGCCTTGCTCACCTTCCCCTCCCTCCCCTTTCTATCCTTAGAAAACTGTCCTTCACTTGTCATGTTTTCTTGGGAAGCTTCCCTTGATCGCTCCAATGTGGGTTACTTATGCCTCCTCTGTGTGTTCAAAATACCTATGCCCGCCTTGCCTATCTTGTCACTTAACAAGCCACACTGTAATATTCTGTTTATTTTTTTCTCCCATTAGCCTGTCAAGGGCCTGAGGGCAGGAAGCACGTCCTGTTTCTGTACATAACACCACGTCTGGTACATGAAAGGTGCTCAGAAAAGCTTGTTAAAAGAACGAATCATCGAATGCATGAACAAAGGAAGTGGACTTCAGTCACCTGACCCACTTGTAGTCACTCTTTTTACCTGAACGTGTAAGTCTTGGTGATCCCACAAGGCAGCGTCTTGCCCAGAGGCATCAAAGGACCTGTGACCCGTAGACCAGCACCTTCCAGGATCACATCGTGGGCGGATGGGTGTCTGCCTCCCCTGTCCACACGGTAGTCAAAAGACAGGGTTTGCCCATAGCTCACCTGTTGATTCCCAAGAAATTTGGCTGTGAAATAGAATTTGAAAAGACTGAGATCAGTGTGAAACTGGAGAAGTAAATGAGCTAGCAAGTTTGCATTAATGTTGGTGATTTCTGTTGGAGTCCTGTGTCATCAGTGTACCACCATGCCCCCAACCACCCTTCCAGAAGAAGCAGTTCACGGATGTGGCCATCCTGCCACTGGCTACGAAGGAAAGTTAGTGACTGACATGTTAAAAGGGCCACATTGTAAGACAATTCCATGTATTAGATGATTCACAGCATGGCCCTGTGAATACCTGGGATATAAAGGTCGTAGGTATGTTGGGAATAGTACCATTTGTTACATAATGCTTTATAGTTCACAGACTTCATTATGTTTGATGTTAATAATCCTTGGAGGAATTATTATCCCCACTTAACAGCTGCGAGAACTGAAATTTGGAAAGGTTAAGAGGACAACTTACCTGAACACCACACAGTAGCTAATGAAATGAACTACTAATACATATGTTTTTAATGTACAAGTGGTTAAAACTGAGAAAACCTTATTTGTACATTTTAATGTACAAGTGGTTAAAACTGAGAAAACCTTATTTTCACTTTTCTGCTTCTCAGTAGATCCACAGATGTGACCTCTGTCTCTCTTTCTTGTCTTGATGGAAAACCTAGAAACTTCCCATTTGACAAAAGTAGGAACCTCAGCCAGGGACTGTCTGCCTGGATACACAGTCCTGTTCTATTGTATCATGACTTTGTCAATAGGGCTGAAGCCCCAACTGTCTTCTGGAGATACTGCTTTTCTGAACACCAGGTGATGTGGTTTTCACATTTGCTAACTCCATTTTTCTCTCCTGACTTCTAGGCTAACAGGTTGGCTTCTATAAGAAAAATACCGTACATACCAGGAGCGACAAAATAGACGGGGTCTGATCGTCGTGCTGAGCTGAACACGTCCCGATGATGCTGGGACCACTGGAGCTTTGCAGGAGACCCGTTTCTTTGGATAGCCTTCCAGCCATCAACATCTGGAATGCAAATAAAACCACTCTGCATTTGACAGACAAACCTCATCGTCTATTGAGCTAAATGAGGCAACACTTGATTGCCAAAAGGTCTTAGAGGTGAATAGCTAGTGGGGCTTTCTTAATAGTTCCACATTCGTGTGCAGTCCTTAAAATGTCCTATGCCCCACTCCACTTGGGTCTCAACTTCACCTGCTCCCACCCCACAGCAGCTCTGACTTCTTTGCATCTGATTCTCATAATAAGAGAGCATGTTTTCATCTGCCTGTAGAGTTCATACTTTTATTTTATTTACATGCCTGTTTAGGGTCTGGCCTTTGTGAGTGGAGAGGGTCCAGTATGTTCCAACAGAAACTCAAATTTGAAATCATGTCACTCTCCTAGATTTTTATAGGGTTTTGTAGCTTGATAACTAATTTCACATATATTAACTCATGGAATGTATGTGAAAACAGTATTTTTTTTTAAAAGATTTATTTATTTTAGAGAGAGAGATTGAGCAGAGGGCGAGAATCTTTCAAGCAGAGTTGTAGGGTCAATCCCACGACCCATGGGATCATGACCTGAGCTGAAACCAAGAGTCGGATGTTCAACCGACTGAACCACCCAGGCGCCCCCGAAAGCAGTATTATTAATGAGTGTGAATTCCAGGAAGACTCACACAACCCCCCCGCCTCAATCCAAATGAAAGACTCTTTTGTGGTTTTAAAATACATGGAGGTGGGAAGTGCAGGGAGATGAAAATCTGGTCTCTTTTTAGTTATTCTTTTAAGTTATTCATATACCAGTATGAGTCAGCTGTGCAGCTATGACTTTTTCAAGACATTGGGATCTGCCTTATTGCCCAGACAAAATAATGTCTTTTAAAAGCCAGAAGAGAGTTGCTAAAGACTATGCAAAGGTCCTGAGCTGGGACGAGGAGGTTGTCTGTAAGCATACAGCTCTATACAATGTTAAAAACAAAGTTCTAGAAACAGAACACTTTACCTTGAGAGAAAGTAGAGGTGATTTTATGGACACTGTAGTCTCCAGAGCTGTGGCAGTTGGCTGAATGCCCATAGCAAAAACACTGGGTACAGCCCTCAGGGTTTCCCCCATCCAGGTGGTAATAACCTGGTCGACACCTGTGGCAGCATTTTAGAGATCAGGACATTGGTAGAAGTTACTTCTTATTTCATATAGAGAATATGATGACTGATCTTTTCTACTTTCCCTCCTGCCTGGCCGTATTAATTCCCAGAACTGGGAAGTACTAACTTACACATACCATCCCCACTCCCGACGGGATGGATAGTCACAGCCCCACTGAGAGAGCATGAACGCTCACTTTTCTGTCCCTGTGGTAGAGCACAATCACACTGGACTTGGTGGCCTGGGAACTTAGTGATTTCCCCATCCCTGGTGAGGAACTGAATGGAGGTCACATGAGCGGGACAAGAAGGGTTGGGGCAGGGGGGCTGTAGAGCTGGCCCTGTCTTAGAGCAAGTGTTTAATGGGGGCAAAGAGTGGGAGGTGGGGCCAGGAAAGGAAAGACAAATGTCCCGGCCCCAGCACCTGCTCAGCTGTACTGACCCGCACGAGAACACTAATTGCTGCCCACCATCCCTGCCCCTTATAGCCCTGCTCTGTCCACGGGGAAAGGGGTGGGGGGGATATGACAAAGAAGGATGGCTGGAGGTTCCCTACAAAAGCAAAATGTAGGCTGGTGTCCCACCCGCCAGTGGCTTGTCTGAGGACCACAGCTACCAGGCAAGTCGCAGATGTTGGGGTCAGAGAGAAGAAAGAAAAGCCGGGGAGGACTTGTTTTTCTCCGTTCAAGTTAATTACATCCTTCTTCACGAAATAATAATAGTTTCAATGATCATTTATTTAGCGCTGATGCTAAGCCAGGCACTTTGTGTATGTTCTCCAATTTAATCCTTGGTACAACCCTATGAGATAGGAGTTGTCATTTCCAATTTCTATTTTTATTTATTTATTTATTTATTTATTTATTTATTTATTTATTTAAGAGAATGCGAGAGCGAGCATGAGCAGGGGCAGGGGCAGAAGGAGAGGGAGAATCTTAAGCAGGTTCATGCCCAGCACGGAGCCTGATGAGGGGCTCGATCTCACGACCATGAGATCATAACCTGAGCCGAAATCAAGAGTTGGATGCTTAACCAACTGAGCCACCCAGGCTCCCAATTTCCAATTTTCTTAGATGAAGACACCCAGGCCAGAGAGGTTAAGAAACTTGTTCGAGGTCATAGAGCTGGTAAGTGACTGAGACAAGATTTTCAAACCAGGGCCATCTGCCTCTAAGTCATGTGGTCTAATCCACTGCCCCCTATGAAGGGAGTCTGTTTATTGTGCAAAATTATAGAAAAGCAGATTAACTGTGAACAGTAAATGCTTCAGAGAACAGCTGTATATAAATAAGCATAGTTTTTTTTCTCTACAGAGCAAGGGCTTAAAAAAAATCATTATGGTTTCTTTGGAGGAAACCTGCAGATTAAAAGGGATTAAAAAATCAAGAAAGGAAGAGGGGGAGGGGCACAGAAAGCGAGGGGAGGGAATGAAAAAAGAAGGGAGGGGAGGAACTGAAGGAAATCAGGCAAAACTCTACGACAGTGTTGGGGGATGTAACCAGGTAATAAATTATGAAGAAAAGTAAGGAAGTGATTATACAGAGGTCAGAACAGTGGTCACTTCTTGAAAGGAAGGAGGGTGTTGCCATTGAGATGGCACATTTTTAGTGAAGGTCTATTTCTTAGAAGAGGTGGTGCTGACAACATTTGTTTTATGTGGTTTTCTGTTTGTGTGTGACACTTGGAAACGAAAAACCTTTTCAAAAAGTGACTCCTCTTTTAACACGGAAGCTGTGGTCCCCTCCCTCCACTGCAGCAGCAAAGAACCCCCTGGAAACACAAGCTGGGAATGCATCTGGTATTTTCTCTGCCCAGGTATAAGTGATTGTCAGGATGCCAAAGGACTGCTTTCTTACTTTTAAGGAAACGAGGAGAACGCCTTTACCTCTGCGCCCAGCCTCCCAGCTATTGTAGGGGAGGGAAGCGTTTTAAGTCTGAGCAATTTGTCCTTAAGGACTGTCCTCAAGCAGCAATGGAAGGTGGATCACTGCTTCCTGCGCCACCTGCCCCAACATGGCCCGGGGCCCAAAGGGCTCTTACCTCTCCTCCCGGCTCATGTGTGTGCATGCAAGCACCATCCCATCCCCGGGCGTTTCCTTTGCTGCACAGGATGGTTATATATGGCCATTTTTCCTCTTACTAGCATTTTCCCAACATGCTTAATTAGGCCAGGCCTTTTCTGGGACCAAGCTGAATCAGGTGACCTCATCATCGCAAGCCACCTTGTATGGGAGCACCTGGGGTTCGGAGTCAGCTGGCAAGAGGACTCCCTGGGGCCCTGGGCCTCTGCCAGCTTGTAAACAAAGAGAGGGGGCCCCACAAAAGCATGGGGTCCAGGGAGATTTGGGGGGCTCAGCTGTATTTTTTAAAAAAGCTAGGATTTTGAGGCCAGCGGGCAGGACAGAGGTCGTCTCTATTTGTTACGTGTCCCTTTTCCACAACTGCACTCAGAGGATGAATTCTCATGCTAGCTGCCAAGAGGCTCTCCCTGCTGTGTCTGTGGGGCCACGGTTCACACGGACCTGTCACAGCGCTCTCCGGTGACAGCTGGCTTGCAGACGCAGCGGCCCTCGTCACAGGGCCCCAAGATACCAGCTGGGTCACAGTCACACGTGGAGTCTCTGGGAAAGAAGACAAAGCAAAATAGGGATGTGTCTCCAAATGCTTCCCAGCTATCCACATAAAGATCAAGTGCTTCTAAGCAAATGTCACCAACTTGAGTAAATCCTTCGTCTTCGCCGAGGCCCCTCTCGGCTCCCCTTGTCCACGCTCATCCCTCCCAGGCCCTTTAAGGACTCAGTTGTCTAGGCTCATGGTACTCTGAGGGTGACAGCTGGTCCATGAACTGCCTGCCACCTACTCTCAAGCAGAAGAGGGGTTGGCGCCAGAATGTGAGCCAAATCCATCACTAAACGGTTCAGTTTGGTTTGGTTTTAGTTTGGTTGACTGTTTGGTTCAGTTGCCTTTTTTTTTTTTTTTTAATTTATCATTTGCTTCTCTATTGTTTAATTCAGTGATGACTGCTTTCATTGTGATGGATTCCATCTACTTGCTATTTTCGTTTATCTAGTTCTTTCTTTTCATAACACTTCTATCAAGACACAATTCAGGGGCGCCTGGGTGGCTTAGTCAATTAAGTGTCTGCTTTCAGCTCAGGTCACCATCCCGGGGTCCTAGGATTCAGTCCCACATTGGGGTCCCCACTCAGCAGGGAGTCTGCTTCTCCCTCTCCCTCTGCCCCTCCCCACTCCTCATGCTCTCTCTCTCTCAAATAGATAAATCAAGTCTTTAAAAAAAATTAAAAATGTTAAAAAGACACAATTCACATACCATACAATTCACCCATTTAAAATGTACAATTTGCTGGTTTTTAGTAGATTCTCAGAGTAGTAGAATTTAGTAGAGTTTAGTAGATTCCTCAACCATCCCAATCAATTGTAGACCATTTTCAACACTCCAAAAAGAAACTCTGTGCCCCTAGCTATCACCCTCCCTTTCTCCCCCTAGCCCTAGGCAACCACTAATGTACTTGCTGTGTCTACAGATCTGCCTATTCGGAACATTTTCTGTAAATGGAATCGTACCATCTGTGACCTTTTGTGTTTGGCTTCTTTCATTTAGTATGTTTTCAAGCTTCATCTGATGTTATACTTCATCCATGTATCAATAATTCATTTTCTTATGGTTGAATAAAATTCCATCATATGGATAGACTCCATTTTGCTTATCCATTCAACAGCTGATAGACATTTGGGTTGTTTCCACTTTTTTAGCTATTGTGAATAATGCTGCTAGGAGCATTTGTATATATGTTTCTATGCAGAAATGTATGTATTCATATTTCTTGAGTGTATTCCTAGGAGTGGAATTGTTGAGTTTGGCTGATTTGTTGTTGTTGTTGGTGGTGGTGGTTTTGGTTGCAAGACTTTCTCAATGAGGGAATCCATCAGTGTTTCCATTATTTAGTTTTGGTACAATATCTTAGTGCTCTGGCTAATGACTAATATCACTCAGATGGGCACACAGTCATAGGCATCTATCTCATGGGTCTAAAACCAAATCCGTCTTTTCCCTACTGTTCGCCCCTCCTCTGACTGCCCTTTAACCCCATCCAAATCCTACCCAAACCTGGATGGGCTCCTCGTCCCCCTCACATTTCTCATCCATTCAGAGTCCCGAGCTGTCAGGCTCCCTGAAGATCCCTTTCCCAGCCCTCCTCTTTCACTTGTGAGGCTCCCCTCCTGACCTAGCCCCTCCACATGACTCATCTGGACCCTTTGACAAACATTAGGCACTATCTACTGGTTGCAAAGCACTGAGGACGCTAAGAAATAGGATCCTGGTCTCTAGGAGTCTCCAGGCAGGGTAGAAACATGAACAAGGATGGCAGCGAAGCCTAAGGCCCGCTGGAACCAGGCGGCGGGGGGCCCCTTCTGTGTGCCTCTCCCCACTCTGGGCACTGGGGATGCAGTATGAACAAGACAAAGCCAACACGGGGCTTTCGTTCTGGTGGGGGAGACAGTCAAACAAGATAGGTGAAGTAACATCAGTCAGAACTTGGAGGGGTGGGGACTGGTCAGGGAAGGCCTCTGTGAGGAGTGGATGAGGTAGGGATGGAGCCCATGAGGTTCTCTGTGGCCCCGTAGGAACCAGGAGTGCTCAAGACCAGGGCCGAGGTCCCTTGCCTTGGCTCCTTTGAAGAAGGGAAGGCAGGCTGGTAGGACCGAGTGCAGGGGGCCAGGGGGAGAGAGAAATGCAGTGGGAGTCCACTGCTGGGGGTGCAGAGGGTGGAGGGTCTTGCAGAGCCCTGCTGGCCTGCAAAAGAAGTCTCCGTCTCATTCTGAGAGGACAGGGAGCTACTGGAGGGTTGCAAGCAGAGAAGTGATATGATCTACTTCATGTTTTAGAAGCATTTCCAAAGGCAGACCCAGTCGAAGGAAGGGTCTCTGAAGACAATCTAAAAGGGGACGGGGAAGCCTGGAAGAGAACAATCTGTGCAGAGGCCCAAGGGTGAGAGAACTTGGGACAGTGGTAGCCAGGCCGGCGCCAACATGGAGGGCAAGCGGCTGGAAAAGGGGGCACCGGGAAGTGATCTTCTGCGGGCACCTTCTAGCTAACGGCTTTCCTGCAGAGCTCCCTTTCCCCTAAGCCATCCCAGTACCTGCCAGCTCTGCAACCCTTTGATTGCTTATGTGATTTATAATGTATGTTCCATCATCTTCCAGTAAAGAATTTTTTTTTTTTTTTTTTGAGAGAGAGCAGAGCATGCACACGAGCAAGCGGAGGGGCAGAAGGAGAGGGAGAGACAGAATCTCAAGCAGACTCTACACCCAGCTCAAGCCCAACACAGTGCTCGATCTCACAACCCTGAGATCATGACCTGAGCCAAAACCAAGAGTGGGACACTTAACCATAAGAGTGGGACACTTAACCGACTGAGCCACCCAGGTGCCACTCTTCTGGGAAAGAATATGACGTGGGATAGAGAATGCTTCAAACTAAAAGGTAATAAAACTGTGCAGAAAAGTTTTTCTAGTCCAAATTCATTTGGGTCAAAATGGGTCCCAGGTAAGAATCTGGAGGGCGCTTTACCTCCATCCTCGTTCATCTAAAGCAGGGCAATCATCTGGGTGAAGAACGTAGGTTTCTGGGCCTGAATATTAGGTCCACCCCCACCAGTAATATTGGGTAAACTTAACCCCTCGGTGTATACATTTTTTATCTTCCACATGAGTGTGACACTAATCCTAACTTCTGAGGCTTACTGTAAGGATTAAATGGCATAACCCACGTGAAGTCCTCAAACAGCACTTGGCACACAGTTGGTGCTCAGTAACAGAAGTGGCCACGGATGTTAATGTCATTGTCATCCCTCATGGCAGAAGCTGCAGTGGGGCGTGCAGGTGCTTACGGTAGCCTTTGGTCTCGGGTGCACCCGGCGTCAGTGAGCATGTGGAAGCCTGGCAGACATCGGTCACACCTGTCTCCTGTCACACCTGGCTTGCAGCTACACCGTCCAGAGTTGTCACATCCAGCGCTAAGAGAACCTATAACACATGAGGTGGGGAGAAGGAAAGACGAAAAGGAAGTATTTAGTTTATAGAGCATTAGGAAACAACTGAAACCCCATGGGAGCTCACAGCCAGGCGTGGCTTCTTCCGGCAAAGAAATGGAAGTTACTCCTGGAAGCATTTGAACTTCTCTAACGAACATTAAGTAGTATGTCAGCCACTGCTTTTTAAAAGAAGGCTGTTGAATCCTTGAGATCTCAAGAAGAGGGACAGTTTGGGAATGACCGCATCAGCCTCCTCGAAGACAGTTAGTATGAGAAAGCGAGCAACGTTTTCTCTTGTTTCTGGCAGGCAAAAGCCATCTTTTAAGGGTCAGTGTGATTTTATTTATTTATTTATTTATTTAGAGTATGAAAAGGCCTCCTAACCAGAAATATCTCTACCTACCTGGAGTGGTGGACATTCTCGTCCTTGGGGCATCACCCCTTCCCTGTGCATCTCACCCGGTTTAGTGCATAGAGCACTTGTCCTGTGATTGATTCTGTATAGACATGCTCTTACTTGTTAGTGGGCCCTCTTGGATTGCGAGTTGATGTAAGACAAGAAGTGCTCAGGGTAGCAAATGCACCCCTCCAGAACCCAGCCTTTTTATCTGATTGCCTCGCCCTCCCCCACCCCAGTTCAAGTCTGTCCTCTCTCCCTGGACCCTGCCTCCCACTCTCTTCCCTGCCTCCATCCTCACCTCCCTTCCCTCCTTTCATGCTGCTTTAACGATGGAATTCAGATTACTCAGCTGTTTCGTTCTCTGGTGGCTCCCCACTATAAGCAGAAGAAAATGCAAACTCTGTATCGTGGCCCACAGGACTTGACCTCTCCCAGCACATCGCCTACTCTCCTTCACTCCGTTCCAGCTCCCAGCTCCCCCAGCCTTTGTGTAAAATGTGCCAAATGGCTTCTCTCCTCCAGGTATGTACCCTTGCTGCTCCACCAGCTTGGAAGGCTCCTTCCCCAGAACTTCCCCCTAATTGGCCCATCCTCAGCTGTCAGGTCCTGATTTAATATTTCTTCTCTAGGGAAATCTCCTCTGACTCCCAAATCCCAAATAGCCATCTTTCAGTTCTGCTTACTCAGGATGACCTCAGCTTATGTTCCTTGCTCTGTCCCCAGGGCCCCAGTGCAGAACCCAACCCAAAGAGGATGCCCAGAAATCTGTTGGATGAAGGCACGTATGCCAAGAAAGAGGTCAGGGTTGTTGGGAAAGAGTCAGAGAGGGAGCAAAAGATGAGCAGGAAGGTGGTGAGAGGTGTACCTCACCTACTTTGCAATCTCCCTGTGCTGGCAGAATTATCAAATAATCCACATATCTCAACTAACCACGATAACTAGGCCACCCATAATTGATAAAGCCAGCAGAACACTAATCAGTTGCTCCTTTCTTTGTAATCAGTTATTCTGTGAGTTTTTGATTCACTAGTAGATACAATTCCAATCAATAAAGATTTTGGCTCTGTGCTGATATAAAGGCTTTCTGCCACATGTGGAACCTGAAATTAGCCACATTCACAGAGTCAGTGAAAGACGCCATGTCAACTTTGCAAGGCTTGAAGGGGCCCTCGGTGATAATGGTATAAACCACATTTTTTGAGTACCTACCACATGTGAGACACTGAGTTCAGTGCTTTATATATATTAGGAAATGCTATCTCCTAGTGAAATAAGAGCTGACAGAAGAATAACAGATCCATTTGTGGGTAACAGGGAAGTATCAGAGGCTCAGGAACTACAGACCCACAGTTCAGAAAGGCATCTCTAGGGCAATCTGCAGGATGCCGGAAGGGAACACCATTCCTCGGGAAAGGCATCCTCCTGTGACAGGATGCCCTGGATTGGAGGAGTCTGGGTGAGAGAGGAGGAGGGAATCACTGAGAGAGCCATGTGGATGCAGAATGAACAGACTTCCCCTCTTCAGAAATAGACACTGAGGGGGTGGGGATCACACGGTGACACCAAGGTCTCAACGTGCACCACTAGAAGTAATGGGAGGCTATTTACCAAAGAGAAGGGGAAAGAAGGAGCAAGATCTCAGGTTGAAGCATCAAGAGAAGATCATGAGTTTAGTTTTGGACATTGTGAACTTGAGTTTCTGGTGGCATATTAAGGTGGAAATGTTCACCTGGAGCTCAAGAAAGAGGCTGGGGGTGAGGATCTAGGAGCCTTCAGCACACAGGCCGAGAAGGAAACCAGAGCAGGTGTAAGATCACTCGGAGGGCAGATAGAGAGAGGAGGGGAGGAGCCTCAGACACAAATGGAACCCCATTAATTAAGGGGCCTTTCATAATCAAAGCAGAAAGAAGTCTCAGGACACTGGAAGCCAAGGGAGCAGAGTACTGAGGGTCAAGAGAGCAGGAGGGTGGGAGTTTCAGGACCTAAGGCAAGAGAATATTTGATGAGATGAGCACGAAGAGAGGCTTCCTGGGCTGCCAAGCACAGACCTCCACGCTCCTGACCTACAAGCAGGCAGCCAACAGAGCTAAGAAGGAAAATTTCTGAATTATGCTCTGATAAGTAACATTCAACAGAAGATATCTCTCTTTAATACAACCCACTTGTTTTTGTTTTTTTTTTTTTTAACACAAATGGGTGTCAATCTGGGACTCAGAAACCCATTTTTTTCCCATTCCAATTAATGGAAATTATGCTTTCAACCCAAGAAAATTCTCCCTACAGTTTTTCAGAAATGAATTCTTCTTAGAAAATGGAAAAGATTGTATTTGGCTTTTGGGTTTGGCCCACATAGACCAAAATGGTTACCCTGCAAAACACCCTTCTGAGAGAAATCAATAATCATCTCATGAAAATAGGCATTCTGTGTTGAGAAAAGTTTGGGAAATGGTGCCCACTTGATCCCTCAGAGGCTTATAACATAATAATACCTTCAGCATGGACCTTGTTTAAATTTTAATGCCAGTATTTCTAAACATTATTTGACATTCTTACAGGCCACATCTATTATTATCTTGAGGAACGTTGTATTCTACAGGACATTATCTAGAGAATCCTGCTCTAAAAGCTGGAGGGTCAAAGAGCCCAGACTTTGAAATCCAAGAAATCTCCCTTCGAAACCAGCTCTGCCACTTAGCTGTGTGTCCTTGGGCAAACAGCTTACTCATCAGTTCTTTTAAGGGAGGCTAACCACCTATGCCTTGTGGAGCTGTTGCAAGACTTTGGACTAAAATAAAGTGCCTCATTCAGTGTCTCACACGTCACGGGCATTCAAAGAATGTAGTTGGCACTGCTCCCTCCGGCCTCCTTCAAACCTTGCAAAGTGAACACGGAGACATGCACAGGTCCTTACGGTGAGCATGACCACTTTATGTCACATTCCAAAACTTCCAAACTAATAGCACTGGGTTTTCAAACTCTCTCGTTAAAATAAAAACACCTGTCCCAACTCCTCCTTCGTGAGCTACTCTTAGGGATTGTGAACAAGTGGGCTGAAAAAACAGAAAACAGCTTCCTGTTTCAGTTTTGTGTCCCAATAAGCTCTTTTAGGGCTTCTATAGATACGGTCTATGTGCATCTGAGGGCTCAGGAAGGTATGCTAAAATGAGTACTATTTACAAATTAGGGGCACCTGGGTGGCTCAGTCGGTTAAGTGTCCAAGACTGAGTTTCGGCTCAGGTCATAATTGCAGGGTTGTGAGATGGAGCCCCGTGTCGGGCTCTGTGCTTGGCGCGGAGTCTGCTTGTCTCTCTCCTTCCTCCTCTGCCCCTCCCCCTCCTCACCCGCTTTCTCTCTCTCTCAAATAAATAAATAAAACCTTTAAAAAATTAAAATAAAATAAATAAAAATTAAAACAAAAAGAGGATATGTCCTTTTGGGAACCCTTTAAATACGTATCTACACTTGTATTTTAAAGTAACATTATTATATTTTTATAATATTATATAATATATAATATAAATATATAATTATAGTTAATAATGATAAATTATTATTTAAGATTGTTTTAAATAATTACCCAAATGTTATAGTCTGAGTGATTCAGGGTCATAGATATGTAAAAAATAATAAAATTAAGAGAAGAAGTCCAATATCACTGATGTCCATATAGGTCTCAAGAATGTAGGTGTCCTGGGAGGAAAACCACACAAATACACGCAGTGAATTTCAAAATATTTGCAAAAGGTTCTCAGGATTTACACATGTGCTTACAAGAGTTGAAGATAACTCAGCCCTGTGGCTGAATCCACAAAGTCATCCCTTAAAAATAAGCCTGGCTGCTATATCTATGAGAAATTGATGTGAAATCCAAAATCTGTGACCACTTTGGGGATTATTAATGCTGTTGGCTTCATTCACCATACATGGACTGACTGCATTTTTTGGTAAGATGTGTTCTTCGGCATTTCAGATTGCATATACAACAAATTCCCTTGAAAGTGATAAATCTCTCTTGGCTGTTTGGGAGACTGAGAAGTCACACAGGGAATTAAACTTGCATCACTGGGCTAGTAATCTGGGCAGCCAGCATGTAGTGGGAGATGGCACAGGGTGGTAACGGTCTCTGTCACTGACATGCCACTCAGCCTGGCAGCTTAGGCTCGGGAGCTTCACTTCTTCATCTCTAGAATGGTGGGTAGAGCGTGTTAACACATACAGGTTGTCAAGTTGTTACGACTACTGAAGAAGGCATAGTATATGGAAATATTCTGGAAAAAATAGAATGCATTAGCCAGATCTTAGGAAATAATATCCATGAAGTTTTTCCTGTACATCTAATTATCTGCTGTTGGGGATAAAAGGACACCATTCTGATGCTTTTTACTTTCAGGTGGAAGGAGTTAGAGGGAACAGTCCTCCACCAGAGCCCTGGATTACAACTTTAGCCCTTGCAATGGCTTGTTGTGAAGACTAGAGGCCATTTATCCACTCCTCCAGGGCTTCGTTTCCCCACTCTTTAAAAAATACTGAAAAATTCACTGCCAATTTCTGGATATTAATAAAAAAATAAAATGTTAATAAATAGTTTTAGACCAAAGATATGGCCTCTACAGGCTTCCTTCTAAAATGGAATGTGATTTTTTAAAAAGCCAATGTTCCAGGAAATTGCAACACTGATCTCTGTCCTAATAATAAAAACTCCATCAACTCCAATTTACTGAGTTGTCTACCATGTGCTTAACAAACCTCATGTGATCCTCACATGCTCTTGTGATACAAAGAGCATGGGGTTGGGGACCCTTTTACCGATGGGGACACTGGGGCAGCAAGAGGAGAAGGGACATGCCCAGAGTGACACAGTGGAAGTGCCCAGGCTTGAACCTAGGCTGTCTGGCTCCCAAACCCACCACTAGTCTCTACATTATGATCTTGGACATCAGCGCACCTGGGGCTGGCACCCTCTCTGCCACTGAGCTCTATAACCTTCGACAGTTTCCTTCATCTCCCTCTCTCAGCCCCTGCTACCTCATTTATACAATGGAACTAATAATAGCACCTGTTTCATATGATTTGTGAAGGTTCCTTCCCGGATGAAAGCATCTAGAAAAGTCCTGGCACAGAGTAAGCGAGTAATGCATGTTAGTTATCATTTCATAAGCTAGAAATCATTGTTCGACTCCACCACTTCCTACCAAGCCGTTCACACTGAGCCTGGAATGTCTATGGCCCGAAGGAAAAGAAAAAGCCAGGCTCGTGGATGCCAGGCGAGCAATGGACTACGCAATGAAGAAGAGACGGTGTGGCAAATCCTTCATCACCATCTCTCTGCTAAGCAGCAGGCTCCTTGTCTACTCTAAGACTAATAACCTTGTCTTCGGGCCAGGCTTTCCAGCTAAGCCAATTAAATTTCTAATTACATTCTCACTGATCATTTTGCTGGGACGACCCACTCCAGTGACTCACAGTGAAGCCGCATAACCTAAAGGGATATGGGCTCTTCAGGAGGACTGAAAGCCCACTAAAATGGAGTCATTTTCCTTTTAATTTTTCTTTACGAAGTTCTTTGAATCACAGGGACAGCTGCTAAATCCAAAAGATTCTGGATGCTGATTCTATGACCCAAAGCTGAGCAAATCCGACTCAAACCACACCGTAACAGCAACTGGAGAATTTGGAAGTGCTTGCTGGGATTTGGGTCTCTATCACCATGGGGCCATCCAACACCCTCTACAAGCAGCTCATGGCTGGACCAAACCTGACCATTTTTAGGTTCTTTCAGCTGCTGCTGTATCTTCGTTCCACAGAGCTACACTGAGTCATTGCGATGCACTTTGGCTATGCTCTTTAAGTCGATTAATATTTATCATATTACACTATTAAACACTTTCTAACAAAGAGGAGAAACATACTGCCAAGAAAGAGAATACACAAATAACATAGTTTAAAAAAAAACTCAACTTATTTAACAACTACTTGTCTCTCCCTCTCTATATGTACTTTTTTTTTTAAAGATTTTATTTATTTGACACAGAGAGAGAGAGAGAGCACAAGTAGGCAGACAGGCAGGCAGAGGGAGAGGGAGAAGCAGGCTCTCCACGAGCAGGGAGCCCGAAGCAGTACTCGATCCCAGGACCCTGGGATCACATCCTGAGCTGAAGGCAGACGCTTAACCAACTGGGCCACCCAGGTGCCCCATATGTCGTAACTTGTCTTTGCTGTCCATGATGAATACAGCACAAAGTGTGCATCTGTGTGTGCAAGAATTACCCACAGTTGTGTGAACATAGCTCTGGGTGACATATTTAAAAAAACCAAACCAAAATACAACAAAAAAAAGAGCCCTGCTATCAACCAGTCCTCCTGTAGGTGCTTCCTATTTATTGATTCTATTTTCTCTTGTTAACAACCATGTTTGTGAAAGACTTTAATCTGCCTCTTAATTGGGCTGTCTCTTGGACCAGTACCACTTTCTATTGCTAGCACCTACCATAGCCCCAGAAACAGATCTTTCTATCCCTTATTTTTTGAGAGGTTGGTCAAAGGCATAGTTGTGGATATGGGGAACTATCACCAGAAGCGTAAAAGCTTCCTTTGTCCCTAGGTCAAACTGTCATCTGCCGGGAAACTTAATCATGTGCCTCTTGCGACTAGAATTCAAGCCAACGTGTCCTAAAGACTCCAGCTGGTTCCTACAACCCAGACTTAAGAAAAACAGGTTTCCTTTCAGCTTGAAATTGGTAAGACACTACCACCACCAGTGTCTAGTAGATTCCCAGTTGTTCTAGATGTTGAACACCACTCTCTTGGCCTGCTGGCTTCTCGCTTCTCCCTTCCCCCATTCCCCCCCTCCCCCCTCCCTCTCCCTCTTTCCTTGCCCTTTTCCCAACTACTTTTTTTTAGTATAGCTGACACACAATCTTACATTGGTTGCAGGCGTATAACACAACGATTCAACATCTCTATAGGTTAATGCTGTGCGCCCCCCCAGGTGTAGCTGCCATCTCGCACCCTAGGACGCTATCACAATATCATGGACTACATTCCCATGCTGTACCTTTCATGCCCGTGATTCCCTCACTCCATCACTGGAAGCCTGTATCTCTCACTCCTCTTCGGCCATGTCACCCGTCCCCCCATTCCCCGCCCTTCCAGCGAGGGTCAGTTTGTTCTCTGTATTTATAGGTCTGCTTCTGCATTTTTTAAAAGGTTTATTTATTTAAGTAATCTCCACACCCAACATGGGGCTTGAACTCATGACCCCACGATCAAGAGCCACATGCTCGAGGCGCCTGGGTGGCTCAGTCGTTAGGCGTCTGCCTTCGGCTCAGGTCATGATCCCAGGGTCCTGGGATCGAGCCCCGCATTGGGCTCCCTGCTCAGCAGGAAGCCTGCTTCTCCCTCTCCCCCTGCTTGTGTTCCTGTTCTCGCTGTCTCTCTCTCTGTCGAATAAATAAAAAAATCTTAAAAAAAAAAAAGCCACATGCTGTTCTGACTGAGTCAGCCAGGCGCCCCTGATTCTGCTCTTTGTATGTTTATTCATTTGTGGGGTTTTGTTGCTGTCGTCATTCACTTACGAGTGAAACAATATGGGATTTGTCTTTCTTGGTCTGACTTATTCCACTTAGCGTACTACCCTCTTGGCGCAGCGCATCGTCCCACTCATACCTTTGGCGTGACAGCTGCAGGGCAAGCAGCGGTCCCTCTCCCTCTGTCGGTAGAACCCGTGCTGGCACCGCTCACAGTGAGGGCCATCCGTGTGGTCATTGCAGTTGAGACAGCGGAATCCGCTCCCTGTCTGTCTGTGAAGCTCAGGATCAAAGACGCACTGCCTGGACTTCCCGTTGCAGTCACACACTGCGGTGGGGGGGTGGGGGTGGGCGGGGAGAGACATCACTAGTAAAAAGCTCAGAGACAATACTATTGTTATTAATAGAAACTATGCACGGGGTACCAAATATTCATGCCAATTACTTGGAGTTAGGTAAGGATGAAATGGGATGCGGACTGTGAGAATCCTTGTCCCACCTAAAGAAAATGGGAGCTCCACTGGGGCAGGGTGGCGGATGCTATCAGAGAGAACATGAGCTCAAAGTGGCCCGACTGTCCCATTCCTCAAGAGACACCAACAATCTCACATGATGTATTTTTATGTAAAAATTCCCGATTTACATATTTGCAAGGAGTTCATTTTTAAAACCCTGTGCAACCCCCTAGAACAAGTCTACGGGCTAAAGAAGACCTGAGGACCACCAGCGTGTGCGCCCTGGCACAACTGTCTAACAGCTGATGGTGTCATCTGTCCCTCCAGTGATGGTCAAGGCTGAGGAGCTAACATGAGTGTCTGGACAGGTATCTCTCTCCACCCCTCACTGTGCCTTGGGTGGCCCTCCCAAAGCCAGGTGTCAAAAAGAATCATAGCCCCATGAAGAATACATTTTCCCAAGTGTCCAGGAAAGTTCACCCCGTTGATGTTCCAGAGACACTCCTAGAGTGACATCTCCTTGGGGGACCTAAAAGCCAGTGAGGTAACACGTGGAAATACTCAGCGTCGTTCCTGGTGCAGGGCAGACCCTCAAAAAATGTTTCAGTCACAGCTGAGAAGAGAAAGATGATAAACCTTGAGGTTAAAAGAATCGGATCCAATAAATACCAGTTCTACTGTTTTCTTGGGCAAATCCCTTCAACTCTCTGAACCTCTTTTCTTTTCTTTCATAAATGTGGAAGGCATTCCCTGCCTCCCTGGATTGTTGAGAGGCTCTCACTGAGAAAAGAACATCCAGTCCTGCACATCTGCTACTTCACTCACACAAGACAGGGAGACAGGCACTGCCTCAGAGGAGAAAAATGCCATTCAGAAAGGTTAAGTAACTTGACCCAGTGGAGAGCTGGGGTTTGAACCTGTGTCTGATGCCAAAACCCACTTTCTTTCCACCAGGCACACTGGAACTGCTTAGGGCCACAATTCACGCAGTGCACAGACAGAAAGAGTTGACAAATGGGACAACAACACGCACCGAGCAGCTGTCCTGTGCGGGCCGTGTCAGGCTCTGAAGGCACAAAGATGATGAAGTAAACCCATGAGCTTCCTACTCGACTTCCTTACCACACACACTTCCTACAACTCGCTCTCTAATCTGGGGAAAGTGAACTAGCATCTCTCCAGAGCCCACTCCATTTCTAGCACTTCACATGCCTCAGCTCAGTTACTTCTCACAATAACACTTCAACACGGGCTTTACTGTCCCCATTGACTGGATAAAGAAACTAATGCTCAGAGAGCATGGATATACTGCTTCAAGTCACATGGCTAAATGGCAACCATATCATTTGCTCCTAGGTCTGTCCACCCACAAAGGCCTCCCCTTCCCATTTTACCCCTGCGTCTCAAGAATCTGGTTACCACTGGGCATGGAGGCATTCCTTCTAGAAATCCCTCACACAGGCTTCTCAGTCCCTACTCAAATCTCTCCACTGACAGCACTGGTTATTATAAATTATTTTTTTAATAAATTATAATTATAATTTTTTTGGAATTTTAAATCTGCCTCCCTCCCTGTAATTTTTACAATGTGTTCTTGTTCTTCCCTGGAAAACACACACAGACACACACACAGACACACACACACCTACTCTCTTCTCCATTTACTTATTCTATATCAGACATTGTTTTACAAGCACGGGAGCAGCCGAACCTTTGACCATCTGAAGACAGTGACAGCATTTCCCTCTTTAGCCTTCTCTCCTTCTGGTTACCCTGGAGACCTATCACCCCCAGGTCTTTCAACCACTTCCCGTGTCATGATTTCTAGATTCTTCTTGACTGTCCTCCAAGGAACACACTCTAATTTCCCATGTTTTTCTGGAAACGGCCAGACTTTATAACAGTACACCAAGGGTGGTTTGAACAGCTCAGCTTGCAACACAACTGGATACTATAATTCCAGAGACGCAATTTAACATTTCATTAAACTTACAGCATACTAAGTTTGCACCCAATTCAGGCTCCCAGGTCTTTTTTGCCGAACCGGTGCCAAGCCAAATCTTTCCCAACGAATGCTTGTGTAACTGACTTTTTGGATCCCGAACAGATGTACCACACAGCTGTCATGCGCTGTGAAATCACCGAGTACATCGTTAGGCACGTACAAGAGCTAAATCCGGCAGCCAACGACCCTTGTGAGGTTACCCAGCTGGATGGCACCATGTGCCAGTGCCCTTTCCCGCTCTGGATGCCTTTTGAGGACAATCTCCAAACCATCACAACATTTTCATTGTGCCTCTCTTCACCCTGAACAAACTCTTTGCTGAGTTTATAGTTTATAATAGTTAACTTGATAAGGATAGCTCATGAAATACTTATTCAGAGCAATATTTTTAAAAATAGACAACCTGGTTATCATCTAGCTTTTAATACCTTCCTCCCCATCTGTCCTTTCTCCTTTCGGGCTCTACTCTGGGGGAAAAAACAAACAAACCACACCTGTGTTCTTCCTTTAAATCTGCAGCCTTCTGTGGAGGGGCATGACACTTCCAGCCAGGGAGGTCAGCAGCTAGCAGCTCCACTCTGGAACTCGCCCACGGCTGAATCCCCCTCCTCTGCCACCTGAGTTTCCATGAAAGCCCACGGTTGTGCTGACTGGAGTGAGGGACGCCTAGGCCATGTGTCCAGGAGTGTATCGGCCTCCTGGGCCCACATGATGTGAGCCCTTCATGAGGACAGTCCCCAGCCTCGCCTGCAGGACTTTGAGGTTTCCAAGCTGCACCGAGTTCAACACTTAGCCAAACTGCACTTTGTTTAATATTGACTCTACGAGGGGCGCCTGGGTGGCTCAGTCGGTTAAGCGTCTGCCTTCGGGCTCAGGTCATGATCCCAGGATCCTGGGATTGAGCCCTGCGTCGGGCTCCTTGCTAAGCAGGAGCCTGCTTCTCCCTCTGCCTCTCCCCCTGCTTGTGCTCTCTCTCTCTGTGTCAAATAAATAAATAAAATCTTTAAAAAAAAATATTGACTCCAGAGCATTCACACCTGGAGGAGGAGGAGAGCAGAGAGTTTGTTCCTTTTGCATGGGATGACCCCTTTTGCCACTGGTGCATTTGAAACAAGATCTTTCTCAAGTCATCTCCTGAATTTAGACTAACTTCCCTAAAACTAATTATTACTCACGCTCATTGCTGGGGGGATAAAAGAATCTTTTTATTTCAAATTCCAGAATATTCTTGCAATTGGTTCAATAAAATGGGCCTCATACTGCTTGAGCCTGGTCCTTTTTATTCTGTGACCAATTTCTGCCTTGCCACGGACCCGGGCACTCTGTCTGCAGAAGGGTACTGCCACGCCAGGAGCGAGGATGCAGGGGGCAGTGGGGACTCTGCCAGAAGGGCTCTCGGGGAAGCAGCCCACCACAGCCACGTGGGGATGCTGCCCACTGTGGTCGGCACTTCCACGTAGGTTTCCAAAGAAGACAGAAATCTGGCTTTGTGTATGACATCTACTGATTTTTTAAATGGGGGCAAAACAAATTTTTTTAAATTTGTTTGCAATAAAGCTGTGTCCAAGGGCAAATCTTTGCACTTGACTCTGCTCTTCTAACAGGCAGAAAACATGGTCATGCTTTAGAAAAAGGAGAAATGGGGCCCTCATCTAATGGAACAGTGGCTTGGTCATAGTGGGTATCTGATGTTTTTTGTTGTTGCTGTTGTTTGGGTTTTTTTTTAAGATTTTATTTATTTATTTGAGAGAAAGAAAGAGAGAAAGCACAAAGGGTGGGGAGGGGCAGAGGGAGAGGGAGAAGCAGGCTCCCTGATGAGCAGGGAGCCCGATGCGAGGCTTGATCCCAGGACCCCGGGATCATGACCTGAGCTGAAGGCAGATGTTTAACCGACTGAGCCACCCAGGCATCCTATCCGGTACTTTTTTAATGAACAAATGAATGAATGTTCTCTTGAACTTCAGGAAATCCCTAGATGTGTTTTGACCCCTGAAAGGACTCCATGTGTCCCCACATGTCTGGACCTGCCTTAAAAATACAAATACTAATATCTGGCAGGCTCTCTCTTCTCTATTCCTTGAAAGGATGATTTTCTCCACAGCAGCTCAGTCCAGAAAACAACCTTTCTTGGTAACTTGTAATACAATGCTTTATTTAGGTTAATAGACCTAAATATAAGCCTTGGCTACATTTTCAAACAGGAAGAAATTCTTAAAATGTTTATTATACTTTCCTTCTTTTATATTTAGCCTTGTTCAATTTCATGTCTAGAACTTCCTTTTCATTTTTATCTTATAATCTACTTGCTATCCTTACAAATTTCATCAATAGGCTGCCTAGTTTCCATCAGGGAATCTTGACACAAAGACAAGTGATGGCAGTATAAAGACGGGAGTCTTGGACATTTCCCGGGTTGCCTGGGAAGTGTTTATCAAGGGTCCATTCACTCGACAAATACATATGGAGCATCTAGTATGTGCCAGGTGCTGTCCAGGTACTGGGGATATAGCGGTAAACAAAACCAATCGCTGTCCCAGCCCTCATGGAGTTTTCATGTGAGCCAGGGGGAAAGAAAATAAACAAGGTAAGTGATACAGAGAGAATACTGGGATAGTGAGATTTGTTAAGGAGAAATACATAAAGCAGTGAAAGGAAATAGGAAATTGCAAGGGGAGGGGGTAAGTGAGGAGGAAGGAAAGGTTGAAAGTGCCATAAGCTGGTTTACTATCTTTTTTAAGATATCTCTACACCCAACATGGGGCTTGAACCCACACCCCCGAGATCAAGAGTCACATGCTCCTCTGACTGAGCCAGCCAGGCGCCCCTGGTTTACTATTTTATTTCACTTGTAATGCTGGTCTATTCATG